GCTTTGGTCTGAGTGAGCCTGCCTGACGAGCAAGATAACTGGAGGACGAGAAAATATCATATTGGCTTCTGGAGAGAAAACAAGGACACCTCGTCGGCGGCTGGAGAGACGTTGGCTCTCCAGAGAGTGGAGAAACAGAGAGAGACAGAGAAGGGCAAAATGAATATTATTATTCAAATGAGAAAATAGATACCATTTTTTTATAGTCCCGAAAATGGGTCAAATCGAGTTAATCGGGTTATACTATTCCGACTGGGTCCGATACGCACCGAAAGGCAGAAGGGTGGAAAAACAATAAAACTAAGGGACATAAGTACTACTAAAATAACATTACTGGTACGTATACAATCATTCATACACCACAAAAATCTATGACTGAAATTTTCATGATGCTCCTGTTTGTTGTATTTTTTTTCAATTATTTTCAGCGCTGCTAAAATGGGAGTCCGCTCTCATCCTTCTGCCAGCTTCCAACGGAATAGGTAGAGGAAGGCTTTTCTCCTTCCGAAACCTGGCCAGTCTTGGGGTAGCTGTGGTAGTATCGATAATGGAGAGGGACGGAAGAGGGGAATGATATCTGAGAGAGAAGAAGAACGAGAGGTCGGAGCGGAAATAGGATAATGATGAACAGTAAGTAAACAGTGGTTGATGACGAGAACGTGACGACTTCGGACTACTCCTTCGCGGATGACTCCGTGAGAAGGGAAAGACACCTACGATCCACAATAACTCGCGGAACTCTGGAACATAGCAGGACATGTGAACAGTGACAAGGAAAAGGTGAAACGGGGACTCTAGACCGTGTGTGTGTGTGTGAGAGAGAGAGAGAGAGACGACGTGAGTGAGGGGGAGGGAAGATGATAATGACCCTTAAAGCGGGTCAGACTCTCAAGCACCCTTAGAGCGGGTGAGATTCCACGATCCTTCCTTCCCTGGTTCTTACTCCCCGTCTTATATAGGTGACAGTAGACGACTTTTACTCACGATCTGGAGTAACTTGCCCACGTTTCTCTGAGAAGATGCTTAAGTGGAGTTGACCGGTTCGTGTGGTACATCCAAGGGTCCTACGACTTCCTCGTTCAGGGGCCTCACCGCCTCGAGCATGGGGATTCTGCACCTGTAATGGACATTCGCAGGAAGAGCTCCCCGGAAGAAAAACATTCGCTGAGTCAGAGAACCCCACCTAGTCTCCACCTGGAAGAGAGTTTCCGACGCTGGATACTTAAATTGCGTAGAAGAATCCCCTCTCACTAGTGAGAAGATCCCTGGCTTGGATATCACAAGAGGAGAAAAAGAGTAAGAGAAATCTTCAACGTCTTGGGTACTCAAGGGCGTTTCTTGATACAAGGGAGAGGGCGCACCCTTGTTATCAAAGAAATAACTGATCCCACGGACAGATAGACCGAGCGCCTGCGGGTGCAGCGAGAGCAGATGGCCAAGAACACCGGCCTCCCAGAAGAACTGAGGATACAGCCAGAACTCGTAATCCATTTCACCGAACGGTCGCACCATCATCACGGTGAAGCAGCTGTCCATCGCAACCGGCTGTATTCGAAACGGAGCAAGATTAAATTGTAGCATCAATTAGATCGAGGAAGGAAAAAGCACGGACAATGGAAGGGATGGGGGAGAAGATAATTCGCGACCCACGTCGTTAAATGCTATTTCTACTACTCTCTCCCCCTATATCCCTAGGGAGACGGACACTGAAAGGCAGCCTCATCTCCTCACTGCAGGACACCGAGATGTTCCTCGTTCCTCATCAGACAGTACAGGCCTTTGGCAGCGTCTTGACCCTGTGGAGGATGGTGACGTCATTCTTCCTGCTATTCCACCGTAAAACCATGAACAGGAAGGCCTAGGCATGTATCACAAGGAAGTTCAGATGTTGATTGTCGAAGACAATGAGGATTTGAGAGACTGCCCGTGACAACCTATTTGAAGAATCGCTTGCAGCACTAGAGGTTTTCCTACATTCACTGACAAAAGACTTACCAGATGGATCATTCAAATTTCAAGGAAAAATACATAATTTTCAAGTAATGGTTTTAATAGACACAAGGTCAACCCAGAATTTTATATCAAAAAAATTGGTAAAATTCCTACATATTCCGGTCATATCCACAGCCGAGTATAAAGTGACGATAGATACTAGAGAAAAGGTGAGAAATTCACATAAATTCTCATCAATTTCTATTTATGACCAATTTTTTCTTCTTTTAGCGTCGGTGGATGTAATCTTGGGTTTAAAATGGTTATAAAAATGCTTGGAAGTTAGAATTAATTTTGTCAATTGGTCTATCACATTCCTGACGGAATTAGGAGACGTTACTTTGCTAGTTGACAAACCTGCAGAAACCTCAAGTATTTCTCTGAAATATTTTTTCAAACTATCACATCAACAGGCACCATGCTTTGAACCTTTTTACCTAGAGGAAAGCTTGAAAAACGCAAAATTGAGGGACTGGGAGTCCCGATTGTATAGAAAATTTCAAAACCATTTGTGAAGATGATGTTTCTTCCATCTAAACAAGAGGTTGACCATAGAAATATGTTGAAAGACAACTCAGGTGGTGAATATAAAACCATTTCAGTACCCTTATTTCCAAAAGAATGAAATTGAGCGTATGGTTTGAGATATGTTGGAAGCAGGGTTAATTCATCATTCCAACAACTTATTTTCCAATCTTGTTTTGTTGGTAAGAAATAAAAATGATGAATAGAGATTCGATATAGATTACTGGCCATTAAATAAAGTCATAGTTCCTGATAAATTTCCCATACCTATTGTCAAAGAATTATTGTCCTGATAAGTTTGATTACCATCGAATTCAATTAAAAGTAAAAGGAGGTGCTCCAATCATCATGAACTAAGAGGAAATTAAATCACTGAACAAATTATTTGTTGCACCTCTATATAGTAGTAATATCTTATTTTCAAGATGATGATGCCATCATGCAGTAAAACACTAGGCTCAGTCATACGAGTGATAGAGAGATGTTAGTATTCCACAATTAGTAATTGTTGAAGCATAAAAAATCTTGTAATTGTTATTATTTGAAAAGAATATATATTCTTTTTACTAAGAGAAAGAGTATTCTTGAATATGTGCATTCAGATGTCTGAGATTCTTCTCTAGTTATTTTGTATGTCTAAGTTTTTTTTGTCATTTTTATTGATGAATTATTTAAAAAGTATAAAATTACCTTTTGAAACATAAGTCAGAAACTTTTCACATATTTAGACATTATAAACTGAAAGATGAAAAATATATATGAAAACATATTAGTTTTAAGTAATGACAATGGTGTCATGTACACCTAATGGTATTTTTTTAGAAAAAGGAGGTACAATTAATCTAGAAAAATTAAAAAAAATGAGTGGCCTAAAGGATAATGACATTGCTTGGGGGAGCATGTTGCATTTCTTTGGCCCAAAAATTCATTCATTTTGTTTGTCATCAGAACTCAAGATAACGTAAAAAGCTGAGTCTAATAAATCAATAGATTTTAGGGAGGGTTAAATTGACGTTAACCTAATTTTGAATTCATGTCACCTCTTCTAGTTTTATTAATATTTTATTATAGTATTGAATTTCTTTGGATCTCTTATCTAAATTTTAAAGACACTATTCTTTTTATAGTAGTTCGATACTCTTCCTATATCTACTCTCTAAAAGTATCACATTATTGACTTCCACCAAAAAAATGTTTAGCAATACTACACTAATTTTCTTCAGAATTTTAATCCGTCCATTTTTAGAATTATTGCTCTAGCTGGGGCTAAAACTGACCATAAGGCTAAACTCCCTTTTGTGATTAAGTCAAATTTTATTTTATGCCACAATTTTTATTGTGGATGTGGTAGTAGCGAAAGGCCCAATTAATATAAAAGGTTTCATTCTCTTTGTGAAATAAAATATTTTCAATCTCCTTGTTATCATACCAACCTCTTATAAGCCTTCTTCATCACCTAAAACTTTCTTTTAATCATTAACGTCAATGGAATTTAAGAGAACTAATTTCCTATCAGGTATTTCTACATTTTGTGGCCTTCCCTAACCCCAATATTTTATGTCAATAGTGATTATAATAAATCATCAAGCAACATTTTTATGAGACCTTTTTGGACCCATAAAAGGGTTTAACATCAAAACTTTTCAAGACATGTATAACGTCACTAAATCTCTCATACATCTTAGAAAGTCACATTTTCAAGCCATTTTTATTGTGTCAATAGGAATAATTGAAGAATCTTATCATTGCATCGAAACCCAACATTACTAAATGAAAGTAGAGTCAAGCCCACCAAAAAAGATCAGTCCTAGATTCTCAAAGAAAAGTTCATTCAAACCTTGAAGATGATCAAAACTGAGAACAAAGCTTGGTAGAACTATATAGCTGAACTTGTACTTCTGAGTTCTAGATAAAGGCCATTTTATATTCACCAACTTCCTATCATCCAGTCGTTATAGATTTTAGGGAGAAATCATATTCAAATTGCATCAGCCATCTCAAACAATTCATCAGAGCAATCAGATCGGATTGTTTAAAAATATATCAAGGTGACTCGAAATGTATGTCTACCATTAAACAAATTGCAGACTTTAACACCTGATGAGAGAGAGCATAACTATCATACTCTTGTTAAAAATGATGAAAGAATAATACTATAAGGGGGAGGGCAAACAATACGGTAAAAAAGAGTGACATCAGACGGGTGAATGAAAGTTCTCATTTCCACATTTCATTCAAAATAAGCGGCTGGAATATGAAAAACAGCAGTCAGGCCAGTTCTCAAGGACTAAGCCTCATCCTTTCAATTGGACAAAATTCAAGCCAAATATGATCAGCAGTTCAATGATACATTAAGGCAAGAAATAGTCAGAACATTAAATTCAGTAGACTGGGAAGCCCCAAGACTCTTCCTCCGGTACCAACATCGATTTGTCAAAAGGCTCCCAGAAGGCACCTCATCATCGTAAGCCGAGTTAGCCCCCCTAAGCAGAAACCTTGACCTGGCACAAAGCATCATATATTTGACGAGCAGTAGGGCGATCAAAGGGGTTTCCCTTGGTGCATTTATAGAACAGATCTACAAGCAGCTTCAGAATTTCAATTTCAACTTCTGAGTACAGTAACCCAAAGCTCGATGAGATCAGACCATCTGATAATGAGAGCTCTTCCAACCACGGCGTGAGCTGTGGGCGCTGCTTCCTCTGCGATTGAGACAACCGCCTCAGTGACTAACGAACTTATACAGTGAATTTACAAAGAACACACAGGAGACTATAAGAGATAGAGATTATAAGCGAGAAAACATGTAATCGCAGCATATCAGTTCGTAATTTCATGCGTAGATAAATGATTCGGAAAGTATGTTCTGTAGAATCAAGGATGCTTGAGAAATGAATGACTCTGAACAAGTAAAATCCTAGCCAAGATACTTGATTAAATCGAAAAAATGAAACAGCTTTTGTAGAACGAAATTGGGCCAAGAATGCTATAAGGGGGCCAAGTTGAACTTCACTAGACCTGTAGGAGCTCCTGGACTTCTGAATCGGAAAGTCCTTCGTATGGGATTTTTAGAGTCAGTAGCTCTAAGATTAGGCAACCAAACGACCAGATGTCCACCTCCTGCAACCACGTGGAGAAGTCATTGAAGAGAAACTAGAAACTAGAACTGAGAATCCACCTAGTCATCTTATTTCACTGTTGTAGATGGCATTATAAAAGGCATCATTAATCACGAGTCCAACTTATGCTAAATACATTACGGCAAGAACAAAATATATGGCAAATTCTCCCCAGAGAATTTCTTCCATAGTGAATGGATGGTACACGAAGTTGACTCTTGCACCATAAGACTAAAAGTCTGCTGCGACGAAACAAAAAGCCAAGGCAGGAGATAATTACCCGAAACATAACGTGAAATAAGAAGAAATTTATCCAAAAATTATTACACCAAATTGTTGTCTGTCACTTAAGCTAATCATTGACATCTAGCACTAACGAATCAAAAGGACAATCAACATGTACATGATCTTTTCGAATTCACAATTGGTGAATAACGGAATCGCAATCAGCCTAGGTATTCCAATTCTGCTCAACATTCTTTCTATCATTGGTTGATTGTAAGCTAGAATTCATCGCTTGAAATGGTGGCAACAACAAAGCTTGAACGTACTTAGTCAGGATTCGGAGGGAGTTTCAGTGATAGAGAATACATATTCAGTCATAAACCAGCATATGCAACTGAAGCTTACGTATTCGCTATATTGAGCCTGGTCACCTATAAAGTTACCTACTGTTTAGGCCATTCAATAGAAGAGGTACCAGTTGTAATCAGCAATAGCATAACTATAGGCCAGGCAGTTCTAGACACGATATCACTTACCATTCTATGATTGAGCAATAGCATTTTACCATGTTAACAAGTAGAAACTCCTGTACCGCATTTAAACAATATATTCCATGGTAATGTTTCGTGATTTCCAATCATATAAAAACCATAAAAACTTGGAAATATTTCATGAAATTTGCAAGAAATTAAATGAATATTTTTGTAAGAGACAAAGAAAAGGACTTACCAAGCCATAGACAGCTCTTTCATGAATAGTTAACAGTACTTCTGGAGCCATCCAGCAGGGCGTCCCGACACATACATCAGGTGGATGGATGCCAAGATGTGAGATACAGCACGTATGCAAAAAGGAGTAAAGAGGAACGGCCCTGTCAAAATCACAGAGCTTGACAATTGGTGCACTGTCTTTCCTCTGACTATCTAGATCAATCAAAACGTTATCGCTTTTAATGTCCCTGTGAATAATATGCTTTGAGTGAACTTCCACCAAAGCACATGCAACATCTCGGGCGATATACAGCGCCAAGTTCAGGGGGATGTGCTTCTCTCCCATTTCAGATAATTTTCTCAAGTAATTCTGCATGACAGTAAAATGCCCAGGGGATTTAGTGATGGATAGAGATGCTCAAGAAGTTGATAACAACTGAAGAACCTCAAATTCCTACCTTTAAAGATCCTCCTTTAATGTACTCCATTATGATAGCCGACTGCAGTACCTGATGTTCCCTTTTCCCCTTAGATGAGGCAACCCACTTAGAAGAAAGGTGGTGCCCATAAATTTCTACTATGCATTTGTGTTTTCTCAAAGCACCCAACATTCTTAATTCTCCTAAAAATGTGTACTCGAATATTTTAATATCCTCGTCTGATATCCCACATATTTCCAAACGCCGTACCTGCAGCAGTTCAGATGTTACGAAACACCCAAAAAGCATTCAAATGTAATCTCAACTATAGGCACTAGTCATCCAATGCATGCTAGGAGAGAATAAAATATTGAGAACAAGGATATTGAACTATTACTCTCAAATAAAACCGTGAAAGTCAATCGACATGCTTTGGATATGTCTCAAGAGAGACAAAGTCAAGTAAGCAGAGATGATCATCTTTTTATTTAGGTTATGAATGAAAAGGAAGGATGATAGGACATTGAATCAAAGAAATAATAAAAGACACAGACTAGGGCTCATGTAAACCAGCACACTAGATGAGAAGGATTAACAAATTAGGATCCACGTCTGCAACGCCAATCGGGATCTGTTAGATAATTGTAACGATAGTGAAGCAATGGAAATCGAAACATAATCATCATAATCAGGAACTCATCTACTGCATACGAGGTGGCACCTACCTCTTTTGCGCAGAGATACACAATCAATAGAGGAAAAATATTTCTCGACTCTAAAGATGTATTATTGAATTATCACGAATAATACACCATCACGAATAATTTGTTAATCCTTTTCATCTAAGTGATGGTTTACATGAGCCCTAGTCTGTGTCTTTTATTATTTCTTTGATTCTAGGTTATGAAATATTTCTCGACTCTGAAGATATATTATTGAATTATCACGAATAATACAATATTTCTCGACTCCAGAAAATTATTTGGTTATTTATACAATCACTTGTTATTTATACAATCACTTGTGATCATTGGAAATAGAAGAAAACAGATGGTTTTTTCCCATTCAATACGACAATATATTTCTAATCCAATGATTCCATTTCTGGTGTAACCTCTAATAATAGTTGGAAAGAGAAGTTCCTAGTTGATGATTATAAATTTTTTCCATGAACTACTCTCAGCTGTCATTAAACGAATGCACCTTCCCTCCCAAAACTTGAATTCAATACTACATTAACTATGTAATGAAGAGTTATCAAACCTTTGCGGCAGCAGTAAGGGTACCAAATTTGCATCGCTTCACACAACCCATTGTTGCACTGTGGTCTCGAAAGGAAAATGGTAGCGAAGGAAAAGGACCAGGAATGGCAGAGCTCTCATTTGGGAATGGAATATACGTCCGACTCAATGGAATATACCTGATAAAGTAAAACATGAATTTTATATAGTTTCTTAGTAAACAAAATCAGCCTATGACTGCCACAATAAAAGAAATTAAACAAGACCAAAGTAGAGAACTGAATTCAAATAAGTGTACTATAACTAAATATAGGGAATATGCATCCAATGTGGAACATCAATTATTTTCGTTGGGCGTTTAATTTAGATAACAGCAGGCGCAGGATAAACTCCATTTTCGATATGTCAAAGGAAAAGAACTGGAATTTAGAAAGCACATCTCTGTTAGATGGTTAAATTTATGCAATGAGAACTGGAATTCCAAACTAAGGAATGTATGCATTATAATTTTCATCTTCTTGTTACATACCAAACATGTGATTCCTTGGTAAATGGTGAACCGTGATAGGATGATGGGTTACAACTAAACGAATATTACACTAACAAATTAAGTGATAATGGCCGCAAGCTGACCTGCAAAAGTACTCCGGATCTGTTTCTTCTCGAATGTCAGCTGGATAGCACGCATCAACAACCATACGTATTGATGAATGTTCTTGCTTGATGAAGACAGCATTCCAAGCATGTGGCAAGAAATCTAGGTAGCCCCTTACTAGCTCACAGGGAATTGGAGGCTCTGCCCTGTCACACAAATACTGAAGTTTCAAATTGTTGGTTAGAACCTCATAACATCAGGGAGACAGAATCGCATGAAATGCTAATGTCATAAAAGAAAATAATTACCTTCATAAGTACTGCTCTGTGTCTACAAACACCAAACCTCACTGCTCCGATGGGCACAATGACAGAGTTGCGCGCCTCTTTGGTCATCCTTAGAGATTTATCACTAAGATCAGCAAAATTGATGTTTCCTGAAGCACCATATGTGTGCCTTGGTTTCTCCTTGACATTATTATTGTTTCCTATAGAGCATGTGCAGACAAAAGGCCGCTGCTCAGGCGAACCCAACACAGAATGCCGCATCCTCAAAACAGTGTAACTCCTATCACTTCCCCCAAAAATGTCTGACACAAAGAGTGCTAGCATCGATGCCCTATGCAGGTCATCAACAGTCTCAGTATCTTTTTCAGATGAATTGGACCTTCTCATCTTAGACAACATATTTTTAGCAGATAGAGCAATAGCATCCAGCTCCTCATCTGTTTCTCTGGTGGAACGAGCACAAAGTGTTAAAATAATTATATTCACTACCCGGAAGTTGTGAATCGAAAAACTATAAAAAAAAAGAAACCTAAAGCAAAATTCACAAAAGATTTCCATACCTGTCCAGAATAATAACTTCCCGTGAATCAAGGCACAAACTTTGATCATAGTTACATAATGGCATGCAACGGCGGTCACGTCCTGCATCATAAAAGCCATCTGGTATGTGATCATCAATGCCACAGTACGATTCAGAGCTGTACTTGCAAGATAAGCACGAACACCCCTCAAAAGGTCTGTGGCACTTTCGCTTAGGATTGTCAAGGCTTACATCACAGTGACGTTTTGAGGTAAGAGAATTCTTAGATTCCTCTGAAGAAGACCCTTCATCCAGCACCTTTGATTTAAGTAGCCTGGTAGAAGAACTATCAAGCTCAGGTTCACCATCAGATAATCCATTCAAACAAGCATCTGCAGAAGTAATACAGGAGGAATCGTCTTTTTGATATCTCATAAGGGAGTCGATTTTTTTATCATTTGTATTGCCAACAAGATTAGAATCATCACGTTTGTCATCTTCAGAACCCGACGGTTTTTCTAGAATAGAGATTGGTTTTGGTGGATTCTTCAGTATCACTTCTTCGTTGACATGAGTGCGCATTTCAAAATCTCCTTGGGTAAATAAGGACAAATCATGCAGCCACCATTTTTCAGCCCATTTCTTCGTCTTAAACTCCCCGTGCTCTTGACTTTTGAACTTTCTATTGTGATTCAAACGCTCCACACGAGCAATGTGATGGAAATAATGCCGACGCGTCCACTTCTTCTTCATTCTTCTTGATGCATTACATCTACTAAAAAACTGTGCATCTGATGAAGTTGGAGAACTACAGACCGAACCTGTAGTTTGCAACTACAAAAGTTTAACGACGCATAATGAAGGCATTGAACATATCCAGAGGAAATGACTCAGATGTCAGAATTCTTACCATTATGGGAGTGGTTCATACCTATCCCTTGAATGGCATCATCAATCACCCCCCTATAAGCTGGAGAAGAACGACTACAATCATCTTTACATATATCCTTTTCATTTCCTTCAAAGGTGCAGTATACCCACGAAGGAACTTGGCAGCCATTAAGTTTATTGTACTGCAATATAAATAAATAGTATAAGTCAAAGAACACAAAAAATGAGTTAATGCTATTGCTCATGTTATAGTTCCTAGTCAACGGAGTTCAAAGGACATCATATCGGGGAATAAAATGGTATGCATGGTTAACTTTGGTCACCTAAAACCATTATAGGGTGATACATGTCCGCATACAACTGAGTTCGTACATACTGAAAGATCCAGAAAAATGACCTACCTGAGCATGAAAGCATTATCAAAACATTTAACTGAACTTTAGAGTATACTAAAAACCTTCAAAAAAAGTAAATAAATAAAAATAGACTATAAAAAAGAAAACTTAATCAAAGAAAGGTTATATAGACCATGAGATACCTGCAGATTTAAATAATGGAGTGAATGCATTGAGGAAAGTTCAAGAGACCCCAAAGATGTCAACCTATTATTTGACAAATCCAAATTCTCCAATCTTTGCAAGCACGAAAGGCCTGAAGGCAAGTCAACCAATTTATTGTTCGAAACCTTCAGTAATTTAAGAGAATTCAACTCTGAGAGATCGTTAGGCAAGCTTTTAAGTTTATTGAATGAAAGATCAAGCTCTTCCAGCTTTTTGAGGAACCCAATTTCAGGAGGAAGGTACCTGGAAAGAAAATGCTATTAAGATATCTGCAGAAAAATAATTAAAAACAGAAGCAACTCGCAGATTATCTTCATGAGTCATACTCAGGCAAGAAAGATCACACAGGGAAAAAAATTACATCTGCAACATTAATTTCACAAAAATAAAATAGTTTTGGCACACGCCTTTGTGTAAAAATCCTTCATTACTGATAAGATAATATAATCCAAAAGAAATTTAAATAGACAAGAAATGCAAAGCTACCAATCAACAACTAGTGACAAAAAATAGCTGTTCCATGGAGAAAAGTAACAGAGAAGAAGAAGAAAATTAGGACTGTTGCTATTTCCCCTTTCAATAGCAGGAAGATTATACAGATCCGCAACAATCCCATATTGGGAAACACATGGGAATTATAATACTTTTTGAAATAATTTAAAGGGAGCTTGGAACAGTTTTCAAATGTACTTGAGAGACTTAGGCTTTTTGAAATAATTTAAAGGGAACTTGGAACAGTTTTCAAATGTACTTGAGAGACTTAGGAAGGTTACCTCAGGAAAATCATGCAAAATATGACTAATGGAAACTTGGAACAACTTTCAAATCTACTTAAGAGATTTAGCAAGGTTACCTCAGGAAAATGAAAAATATGACTAATGGAAACATGGAAAAATTTCCAAAGTAAATGTGAAGGCTCATTAAGGAGATATGTGATAGGGTACTGTCACACAGCTGATGTTGTGGCTAATGACGCGGCCTAATGATGATGTGACTGGATGTTACATTTCCAACCAAGAACACCTTCGTATATAAGCAGAATGCAACCAAAAGGCCACTTGTGAGGATCTATGATTTTAGGTCGATCCAAGAAAGCCATGTCATAGATCTCCACGAAAATCACTCCTAAGGAAATGGAGTTATTAACAAGTCCACATTTTCCCCCCATCATCCTCTCTTTTTCTGTTATGTAATAACAAGTCCACAGGCTACTACAAAACCTAACCATGTCATCACTTCCCACCGAATATGTTTAATCTCTTTCTTCACCCAACTCCATACCTGCAGCCTCCTCATTCTCTCTCACGATATCCTGCTCTACAACTCAACTCTTAGCTCTTCCTTCCTCTCTTCCTGAAAAATAATATCCAGTCTCCTTCACCTTCTCAAAGAAGTCGTGGCCTGGCTGTAGCAGCCCAAGCGTTCTTCATCCTGATCTGATAAAGAGCTGGAAGAACCGACTAATCAAACTGAGTATTGTACCTCAAATCAACCAAAAAAGGATCCGAAGGAAAAAATCACAGACGCAAACAGTTTCAAATGTCCTTTTAAAAGAATGAGAATGGATATTGTCGAAAGAAAGATTTTTTCGGTTGCTTGACTTTCTTTAAAGGTTTGTCTATGTTGATGGGAGGAAATTTTATCAGCTCTTGAAAGTGTCAACTCAATTGGTCATTGCACTAATTTTTTTACTAACAACTAGGCTATATACAAATTAGGATTTCTCATAGATTGCAGCTCCCGTGACTCCATCCCTGGTTAAAAAGAAAAAATAGTAAATCATCTCAGGAGTATCTACAAGATACTCAAAGGATACACGCTTCTAGGACTCCAACAAAGATGCTTGTAGGTGTATGGGAACAGGGAAAGTTGAATAAAGAAATATAAATGCAGCGTGGAAGAGTGTTCCACAACCAGGTTTTAGAATATTAGAATGCACCAATTGCCTAACATATCGCAGCAACTCTTACAAAACTGCAACAAGATTATTTGTTCTGATTGTAACCACATCCTTCATCAATGTAGTTTCCCAACAAAGTTACACAAGGACTCAACAATTGCATAGGCTTTAGCTCTGCCATCAGTTGGATTTTTTTCTGACCCGCACTCGTTGCGATCTGAAAATTCTCTAGAAGTAAAGGAACTAGAAAAAAAAAAAAAAAAAAAAAAACTACGTCAACATACCGAATAGAGAGATGACAGATGGAGAGTTTCGTGAGGCAAGTAAGCCCAATAATTTCGGTCAATATAGAGAATGCCGGCGACCTAGCAGAGGCGTTAGAGAGCTCCAGCTCCTTTAAAGCTGTCAGCTTTCGGAACGGAATGCCAGAGAACCCCGGCCACGACAACTTCACCTGCAGCTTCTCCAACTCCAATACATCTCCAGTCTCCGGTGGCAGTACGTTGATTTCATTACCGAAGAACTTGAGTGTCTTGAGCTGGCTGAACTGCCAAATAGACCTGGGCATTAGACTGAACGCGTTGTTGTACACATAAAGCCCCTCCACTGTCCCTCCCCCCGGGCGAAGCAGCGGGGAGCACTCCAACAAAGGCATCTCCCATAACTTGCCAGATACATCCACGTCCACGGAGACCACTCCGTAATCATCCTCGTTTCTCTCATCCCCCCTGCCGTGGCCACTGCCCGGCCTTCCGCTCCCCGGAGAGCGATCTACGGGGTAAAAATCCCCGCCTTCGTCCAAACTCTCCTCGTCGGCGACAGATTCAAGCCCCTGCGGGGCAGCTTCCATGGGGGCAGGTCCTGCGGCGGGTTCCCCAGCCCGAATTACGCGAGCCGTGGAAGGTTGACGGGCTTAGGGCTTCTTCCTCCACGGCTAGGTTCCAGGGTTTCAACCCTCCCCTCCCTCCGGCACTGTCACAGAAACCGCAGTGCGCGCCCGGCGTGAACTCCAGCCCGAATCACGCAGGGCAGACAAGGGTTTCGGCTTGTTCCCCTATCTTACTCTACTTGGAAACCCTAGTGCAGGTCCGGAGGGAAGCGGGAGAAGAAGAGAGGAGGATCTTGGAAAACCGGACCGGGACTTGGCGACCGCTCGACCGACGAATTGCAGCACATGTAAGACTCGTGATCGAGGCCGTACAGCGCAGCTTTGGAACGAATGAACGCAGAGAGAGGGGGAGAGAGAGAGAAGGGTTCGTGGCGCGTATGACTCAGCAGCCAGTGGGTCCAACGACCACGCGGGGGGCCGGGGGGGGCCTCATGATTTGGCAACAATGCTCGGGACCCACGGCGGTGGGGCCCGGGCGGGATTCGTGGTTCATTTCCTAACAGTTTAGTTACCAATAAGAGTCGAAACGAAGGTTGTAACATCTGACCGTCAGAGGGATTCGGGGCCGATTCGAGATAAATTATCGATTCCGGTTAATTTTTTCCAACGGGAAGGGGCTATATATGTGCGTATGTCTGTCGTTACGAGATGGCCTTTCCCGCCTGATCAGAAATTGAATTCGAATCTCGTCAGCTTTGCTCCGCTTCCTCCGTCCGTTGCTATCTTAGAGAAGATGATCGATCTGAAGTGCGACCGGTTACTCTCAATCGCTCTGTTTCTCCTTCCTTAATCTAATCTTCCGCTCTTTCCGTCTCTAGCTCCCTGGATGTTGAGCTCTGGTGATCCTTCTTGTTTGGGCTTTTATTTGTGTTATCCAGATCGGAAGAGCAGCTCCAGCTCGTTGAGGGCGTCGATCTGGACGACGAAGACGACTGCTTCGAATCCATCGACAAACGTGAGTCTCGTCCTCTGTTACTATCGCCATGATCATGTCTCCAACTGCTTGGATGACTTGATTTCATTATTGCTTTCTGTGGTTCTGGAGGAAGTCCGGCTTAGAACCTGCTGTCTGATATGTTTTCCTTTGAGAATTGACTGTTTTTATCCAGAAGCAGAAGTTTATTTTATGTTCTCTTCTTCTCGTCGAGTCTGTCTGTTATCCCCTTCCGTTTGCGAAGTTCGTGTTTGAAGGAAGAGTGACGTAGAATGTTAGCCGGAAGAGCTGAATTTCCGTTCTGTCGGCAGTAATCGCACAGGGAATCAATGCTGGTGACGTCAAGAAGCTTCAGGATGCTGGGATCTATACATGTAACGGCTTGATGATGCATACGAAAAAGGTATGGCAACGTGGAGACTCTTCTCTGCTTCAGATGACTAGCTTTTCGTAGGACTTTCAACAAACATTTGTTCATTTTCTTCGGGCTCGCTGCCAACAGAATCTTACGGGGATCAAAGGCTTGTCCGAGGCAAAAGTTGATAAAATTTGCGAAGCGGCAGAGAAGCTCATTGTAAGAGTCCCCGATTTCAACTTGCCTTTTCCACATTTTTTAAATGAAGTAATCTTCGTTTTACTTGATTTCACGCTTCCACTGTGTTTTTCCACCCTTAGAACACTGGATACATAACTGGAAGTGACCTACTGCTAAGGGTAATGAATTTTTGATATCTTCACTCGGTGCTATCAATTTCTTTGAATATTTTGTTCGAATGGAGAAAGTGTGCTACGGACATAATGTCGTCCATCTGACGGTTCCATCACAATTTCGATGTATTCCTTTTATTGCTAAAGCGTAAATCTGTTATCAAGATCACTACTGGCAGCCAGGCACTGGACGAACTCCTCGGCGGTAATTTCTGTTAAATTACTCGATTCTGAAAATCATATTGATCAATTTTCGTTCCTTTTGTTTGCTCATTTCGCTTCCTATGAGGTTTGATCACTTGCAGGGGGGATTGAGACGCTCTCAATAACAGAGGCATTTGGTGAATTTCGGTAAGTGCGTTTCAGTGAAGGTTGCTAAATGTTCTCCGAACTGCTTTTTGCTTTGACTCATTCAGTCCGTCGTTGACCGTACAGATCGGGGAAAACACAGCTGGCCCATACTCTCTGTGTTTCTACTCAGGTAAGTTCCAGCCTCTGTGGCATTTAATTTTCATTAGGGTTGACTCATTAAGAGTCGATGGCAGGACGTCTTAAATTCATTTATTTGGTGTGTACTCGCTTGATCTGTTCCTCACAGCTTCCCATCAGCATGCGCGGTGGAAACGGGAAAGTCGCTTACATCGACACCGAGGGAACATTGTACCTACTCTATTTTCCTCGTTCACTCTATATCCTTATGAGTTTATTCTCGTCCTACATACTCATTCCTTTCTTCTAATAACATTTGCGCGGCGTGGCAGCCGCCCAGATCGAATCGTACCTATAGCAGAAAGGTTCGGTATGGATCCAGGTGCGGTCCTTGAAAATGTAAGACTTAGTTCTTTATCCTGCCTCCTAAAACTTCGTGCCATCACACGATAGTCGTTAGTTGGATCCCATCTATCTGATCGCGGATGAAATAAATACGGCTAATGGGGGTTATCCGCCGATAGGAAAACTGGTTTAGTTGATACCGATTTTTTTGTACTCTTTTTGCGGATTCTGTTCATCAACTGTTTGAAAATTCTCTAATTTGGTCTTTGTGTGAGGAGATCATATACGCGCGGGCGTACACGTACGAGCACCAATACAACTTGCTGCTTGGCCTCGCAGCCAAGATGTCGGAGGAGCCCTTCAGGCTGCTGGTAAATTCACCTCTACACATGTTTCTGACTAGGCGAGTACTTGATTTGGAGATACGTGGTCTATCCCTCATTCTGGGTGAATTTTTCCTCCGTCTGCGTCTCTAGATTGTTGATTCTATCATTGCGCTTTTCCGAGTGGATTTCAGTGGAAGAGGAGAGCTCGCCGAACGCCAGGTGCAAGCCCTTTTGATTCTTCGTTCTTTTCTACTGAAAATTCGTATACTAAAATCTCGTTTCTAATTCTTTTTTGCAGCAAAAGTTGGCGCAGATGCTCTCTCGCCTGACCAAGATAGCAGAGGAGTTCAACGTCGCAGTTTACATGACGAATCAAGGTATGAAAATCTCCGTCTGGCAACAACGAAAATAGAGTATTCGTGATTGGGATCGTCCATTTTCTCTTGAATGTTCTCGGCCGGGTGCCTCCTTTGTTTTCAGTGATTGCGGACCCCGGAGGTGGTGTCTTCATCTCAGACCCAAAGAAGCCGGCTGGTGGCCACGTGCTGGCTCACGCCGCCACCATCAGGCTGATGCTGAGAAAGGGAAAAGGGGAGCAGCGCGTCTGCAAGGTATTCGATGCCCCAAACCTCCCCGAGGCCGAAGCGATATCCTTACCTCGTCCCTTCGGACGTCATAACTCTTTCAGTTTCCTTCTTAAATTTATTTGGGATTCTCTTGCAGCCCTTCCCTTTCCTGCCGGGTTTCTCCTCTTATTTTCCCGCCTTGCGCCTCCCATAGGTTTCCACCACTGCAATTATTTAACCCGTGCGTCAATGTTTTCTCTTCACAAGCAACACGTCTTCCAGATAACCCCAGGTGGAATAGCAGACGCCAAGGACTGAGGAGAAGACCCCCCAGATAAACTCTAGAACGTACAGTAGATAACGGAGCGAGACTCTCTTCACACTCACCTTCAAATTGACTCACAGGCAACCAAGTAACTGTCTTCCTGGCCATCATCCACACATACCCTTGACATTGCCTAGTTGTGTATGCAGGGATAAACCTCACAGATATTACATGTATATGGTTCTTTCCCATCATATCCCCGGTTTGAGTCCTCTCATTTGAGAGCCGGTCGGGGCTCCCTACATATAATAATAATTGCTGGGCAAATCTGAAAAACAACAGAACAAATTTTGCTTGATAATATACCGCTCAGAGTGCACCCCCAGTCGTCCCTTAACAATCTGATCAAGCACCTCGTTCTTCTTAGTACCTCCGACTAAGTTCTCTCTCTCTCTCAAAATAACCACCACCCTTCCCAGTCCCACCTTCCACTCCCCAAAGAATGTATATAACACTTGTATACTTTGTTCACCTATTCATTCTGATTGTCCAACCGGCGTCACGGGAAGCAGCTTCATCAGCAATCAGCCCACTGAACGAACGGAATCTAAGATCTCTGTTTCACCAAAAGTCTCCGCATGAGCACGAGCCATCCCTGAAACGATGGAACCGGTTGGCATCCCTGAGAATCACTTCCCGTTGGAACAACTTCGAGACGAGCTTGGTGAACTCGTGGCAATCGCCGCAGACCCGAAGGTTCTTATTGACCCGAATGGGCGCCCCCCCGCCGGAGGTTCCAATGAGGCCAAGCGTGATGGCGAGCCTCTCGCTGTGGCGGCCCAACAACTCCGCCTTCTCGTCGTCCCCCAAGTCGTGCAGGACAAACCTGGTGTCGGGCTTGTACCCAAACTTTTGCTCCAACTCCCCCGTGATCTCGGCTAGCTCGGAGTAGATCACCGCCGACGCCGGGTGGGCCTCATCGCCCGCAACGAAGGAATGTACCACGTTCCCCATCTCAATCCAGCTACACGCCGGGATCTTTTTCAAGCCCTTCGCCTTCATCTTCCCCCTTATCTCATCGACCTCAGCCCACCTTCCCGCGGCGGCGAAGACATTGGATGCCAGCACGTAGTTTCCGGGGTTCTGGGGTTCGAGCTCGAGCAGCCTCTGGGCGGCGACCCGGCCCACTTCGCTGTTGGAGTACACTCGGCATCCTCCAATGAGGGCGCACCAAACTGGCGCGGTCGGGGCGGCGGGCATTCCCGCTATGAACTCGTACGCCTCATCCACCCTGCCGGAGCGGCTCAGCATGTCCACCACGCAGGCATAGTGTTCGGGCCACGGCACAAGCTCGTAGCCATTCTGCATCATCTCCAGGTAATCCATGCCTTCATCCGGGAGCCCCGAGTGGCTGCAAGCGTATAAAAGCGCCAGGAAGCAGATATGGTCAGGAAGAGTACCCGTCTTCTGCATCTCCTCGAACAGAGCCATGGCCTCCGCACCCCTCCCATGCATGCCATTGGCGTCGATGATGGTGGTCCAGAGGACCAAGTCCTTGCTCTCTACCCGGTCGAACAGGTTGTGGCAGGCCTCGACATCACCGCAACGCGCGTACATGTCCACCAGAGAATTAACTAGAGATGTATCCGCAGTGAAGCCCCTCCGTATTGCCAGTCCGTGGATCTCCTTCCCCTTTCTCAGGATGGACAACTCGGCGACGGCTCCGAGCACGCTGACCAGCGCCGCAGCATCGATCTGCAGCCCAGACCCTTTGAAGTGGTAGAGCAAGCTGATGGCCTCCAGCAAGAGGCCGTTGTGAGCGAATGCATTGATCATGCTCGTCCACGAGATGACGTCTTTGCTCTCCACCCTCTCGAAAACGCTCGCAGCGTAGCCGCTCTCCCCACACTCGCCGTACGCATCGATGAGCATGTTCTCCAGGAAGAGGTCCGACAGCCCATGTCTGGTGACGTAACTGTGGATCTCTTTCACCTGCGATGTGCAGCTGTGGCCACTGAAAGCCCTCAAGACGGCAACAAGCATCACGGCGTCGATCTTCGTGCCTGCAGCCAGAGCATTTTTGAATGAACCCATAGCCTCGGAATATCGAAAACTCTGGACATAGGCGACAATCATTGCCGTCCAGGAGATATGATCCTTGTCGGGCATTGCGTCGAACACCCGCCTTGCATGTTCTGCGCTGGAGCACCTGGAATACATGTCAATCAACGTGTTCCCCACCTGCAAGTCGCCGTGGAGCGCGTGCCTCACTGCGTATGCATGGATCTCTCTTCCTCTTGATAAGTTCCTCAGCTGACCCAAAGAGGAAGCGGCATTAATGACCGCGACCTTGTCCGGTCTGCAGCCAGCGTCCCTCATTCTGAGGAAAAAATGGATGACCTCATCGTATTGCCTGTTTTGCATGTATCCTGAGAGCACTGAGTTCCAGGAGACATTGTCCTTCTGGCCCATCTCCTGAAACACCTGGACTGAGTGATCCATCTGGCCGCATCTGGCGTACATAACGACCAGGGCGTTGGCCACGAAGATCTCAGCTTTCTGGCCGCACTTCAAGAGGGACGCATGCAGCCCCCGACCCAACTTCAAGAGGAAGAGCTCCGCGCAGGCCTGGAGGATGCCGACGGCCGTGTAGGAGTTCACCTCAACCCCGGCCTCCTGCATTTCTCTGAAGAATGTCAAGGCTTCGGTCCACCGCTCGTTCTGAACACACGCCGAAATTACAGAATTCCATGAGACGACGTCCTCCTTCTCAGGCAGCCATTCAAAAAGTCGCCTAGCCAGCTCAAAGTGACCGCACTTTGCGTACATGGTCACTAGCGAATTCACGACAAAAGCCGACGAGACGTGCCCGCATTTGATGGCAAGGCCGTGCGTCTCGGATCCGCACTGGAGATCGCCCACCGCTGCGCAGGATTTCATCAGGGAAACGAGAGTGTAGGCGTCGGGAGAGACTCCCGCCGCTCGCAACGCTTCATACAGTTCCAGGGCCTCGTGCTGTTGCGCTTCAGAAGAGGAGTAGGCGCCCATGAGGGCATTCCACGTGAAGATACTTCTGTGGGGCATCTCATCGAACAGCTGCCGCGCGGAGGAGACGCAGCCACACTTTCCGTACATGAACAAAAGCTTGGTACCGAGAAAGTCGTTGTAACTAAGCAAACCGGAGGTCAAGATTCGGCCATGGATTTGGTGGCCCTGAGACAGCGCTCTCTCGGAAGCGCAGAGCTCCAAAACTGTCGCGAAGTTCTCCTGGGAGGGCATGGCATGGGGATTCTGCTGGGACAAGCCCTCGAAGGCTTTTTCAAGGCTCCCCGGCTGACGCAGAGCATGGGCAGAGCGGGCCTGGTCATTGCTACGAGACGGCAAGAAGGTGGGCTTTGGGGTTCTCTTCCGAGGTCCGAGCACGATGGCTAGTCCCGGCTTCCCGGAGAAGCTACGGGGTTGGGTCTGCGGGTGTGTGAGAAACGCTGGAGGCATCAGAAGGGTCGAGCCGTACAGGAAACCACCCGGCGCCGGAGACCTGCGACAATGGTGGACTCCGCAGGAGCGCATGTGACTGGAGGGAACTATCCGCTAGGATTTCGCCCGCATCTGGTGATAGAACAAGTGTCAAAGGCTCCCAACAACAGATGCTCGCGTAGATATGATGCTCCTGAAGCGGACTGTTCACAAACCGAAATTTTCTCAAAGCATGCTTGCTTCATAATGCTCTTTCCTTGGGGAAAGCAGGTGTAACTTCCCCTCGCACTGACCACCCCGTGACAGCCGCCCCCGGTTATTTGTCGGAATCTAAATTAGCGGCCCATCAATTTAAACTGCGCAAAAGTCAACGATATATTGAATGCCTGGGCTACGTCTTCCTCGACGAGGCAGCATGCCAGAAAAATATGGACGCCGAGTGGAAAAGGTACGAGAAAAATCGATGTGGCATTCTGAAGATCATCTTTCTTCTCCTATTCCTTCTCCGTATGACGCAAATGCGGGGCAGCCTTGGCCCGATCAACCCCTTCCCCACCATGAGTGCTACTACAGGGCAAGTCTGGTAGTAGATTTTTGGGTCGATGACAAAGCGAGAGACTGATCTACTCCGCCCCTACAAAGGCCGGGTCTTTGACCAAGTTCTGTACTAAAATACTCCAGGTCAGAGAGTTGGGCGCGATGCCATCGTTGATCGCCCTCTCTAGAATTGAGACAGCGTCTTGGAGCATCCCGCCCTTGCAGTGCCAGCTGATAAGGGTGTTATAGGTCACCGCGTCGGGGCACAGCCTTTCCGTGCGGAGCTTCTCCGCGAGGGTCAGGGCCTCTCGCAGCTTCCCCAACCTGCAGAGTCCATTGATGACCGTGTTATAGCCGACTATGTCCGGCGTCGACCCCCGCTGGAGCATCTCCTCCAGCAGTTCGAGGGCCACGTGGACTCTCCCCATCCTGCAGAGGCCGTTGATCAGAATATTATAGGAGACGTTGTTTGGCGCCACTCCTTGCTCGATCATCTTCTCGAGCGCCGCCAGTCCTCTCCCGACGTCACCGCCCATGCAGAGTGCCTTCATCAGCCCGTTGTACGTTATGACGTCCAGAGGGCAGCCGCGGAGCGTCATCTCGTCCACCAGGCGTAGGGCTTCTCGCCATTCTCCACTCCTCATGAAGGAGTGGATCAGCGTGTTGTATGTCACCGTATTTGCTGCGACGCCCTCCGACAGCAGGGCCTCATATAAAGCATGGGCCTCCCCCAGACGACTCTCCCCGCACAGACCATGTATCAGGGAGTTGAAGGTGAAGATGTCGGGCTTGTGTCCCTTCTCCTTCATCCTCTGGACCATCTCCAAAGCCTCGCCTGTCCTCCCTTCCTTGCACAGGCTCCACACCAGGATGTTGTAACCGGTGCCATTCAAGCTCAGGCCCTTGGAATACATCTCCTCCAGGATCTCCCCGACATCTTTCCACTTGTGGCGTTTGCAGAAGCCGTGCATCAAGATCGTGTAGGAGATGGCGTTGGGGCGGCAGCCCTTCCGCTCCATCTCGTTGAGTAGCCGGGCGGCTGAGCCCAGGTTCCCGGCTCGGCAGAGGCCGTGAATCAGGATGTTGTAGGTGAAGACATCTGGATCGCATCCACAGCGTATCATCCGATTGTTGAGGACGTCCTCTGCTTCGGGGAGTCTGCCCTGCATCGCGTAGCCGTGGATCACTGTGTTGAAGAGGACGGCATTGGGGGCGGGGACCTTGCCCAACAGGGCCCTCGCCTCGTCCACCTGGCCCGTCCTGCACAACCCTCGCACCAGAACACCGTATGTGGCGACATTCGGCGTGCACCGGCGGCGGAGCATGCGGTCGATCAGCTTCGCCGCCGCCCGGATCTGGCCGGCGGTGCAGAGCCCGTGGATGACGTCGTTGAAGGTTTGAGTGTCGGGGGGGCAGCCCATGAGGAGCATCTCATCCAGAAGCCGCAGGGCGTCGCTCACCCTGTTGTGCGCGCGGAGGGCGTGGATCAGGGTCTGGTAGATGGTGGAATCGGGGACGCAGCCGTGCTTCGCCATCTCCCTGAGCAGGGCGCACGCAGAGTCTAACCGACCAGTGGAACACAAGGCCTTGATGACGATGGAGAAAGTGAAGGTCGTGGACGGGGTCCCCTCGTTCACCATGCGGAAGAACAAGGTGGAGACCACGCCGTGGCAGCTCGCCCTCGCCAAGATGTCCATGACGACATTATAGGACCTGAAGGTGGGTTTGCAGTCGAACACACCGGACATTTCGTCGAGCATCTGCACTGCCTTCCCTGGGGACCCGGCCTTCCCATACCACTTCATGAGGAGGATGAAGAGGGGCTCCCTCAGAACGATGCCCTCATCTCTCGACTGCGCCAGCAAGTCGCCGATCATCTTGAACTCTCCCGCCCGGCCCAGCTTGTCGACCATTGCGTAGTAGACGTCGAAGGAGTGGGCGTAGCCCTTCTGTGCGCCCGCCCAGTGGAAGACCTCCATGGATGTCGGCACATCAATGGGAAGCTCCAGTAACTTGCAGAGGCGTTGCGGGGTGAGCTGGTTGAGAGATCTGCGGAGCTCCTCCAGGCCGAAGGGCTTCAGCAGCCCTTCCCAATCGCTCTCCGATTCCGATTCCCGGCCTCCCTTGCCCCCACCGATTGCGCGTCTAAAGAACGGGCAAGGGCTTACCCTTCCCCGCCAGAGCGGGGAGGAGGACCCATGTTTCAAGGTTATCCTCATCAAGGAGACCAGAAGAGCAGGCGGACATCCGGAGACACCGCAAGAGGAATCATTTCTCTCCGATCAAAATCCTCAAGTTCCGCTGAAGGAGAACCTCTGGCCTCGCCCCCTCCGCCGCCGATCATCCAGAATCCTTCCGGGGTCAGCAACCAAAGCTCGTTCCTTCTTCGGAAACGACTGACCAAATAAAACTCGAGAACAGTCAGAGACGAAGCATCCGTAGAACTCTGTATTGATCGGCTGTGTTCCCCATTACAATCCAAAATGGCCGAAAAAAAAAAAAACACAATGAGTCTCTGTGTATTCCGTGGAGCCGCCCAAATCGCACCCCGTACAAAAGAATGACGAGAGAATCGGAACACAGTTGAACAACATAATTTAAAGAAAAAAGAAAGTTAGAGACTTTCAAGTAAGAGCGGCTCCATTCCGAGCCGTCATGGACGGCCCTCCATTTCTCTCCCGCCATCTTCGTGAAGCAAATAACACGGTTGTCATTTCTACGACACATTCGCTTTACAATTTTACATGCCAGCAGCTATTTACACCAAAATGGTAGCCCTGAAACCCCTCAGGCGGCCACTGAGGACCGATCCTTTTCACCCAACTCTCATGACAAAAATTCTCTCTTCGTCATTTCCCGGGCATCTGTAATGGCCGGGCTCCCAGAGATGTGGGCTGTCTCACACCAGTGGCCCCTTGGCCATGAAGACGTTGGCTTGTTGGGTGGCCTGTCGAACTCGATCAACTTGGCCGGCTAAGAGGGTGTGAAGGAAATCCTCCAGAGCCATCATCGTCACCCATAATTAAAGGACCCCCTGTGAGACTCCTCAGGGAGAGTCCAAGAAAGCAGATGTCCGGCGGAGTCCCCAGTCAACAGCTGCTTGAGGTCAGTCGTGATGTGGAGAGCAGTGACTGGGTGCTTGTGGGCCTTCAGAACCTTTCTAAGGACCAGCCGGTACTCGGGCATCAGAGAATCCAGACCCAAGTTAGCAGCACTGGAAGACGGCTTAATTCTCGTGGTGCTTTCCTCCGCAGAGCAGTGAACCATGTTCCAGACCTTGACAGCCCCACTCTGATGGCCTGTGACATACCAATTCGTGTCCAGCCAGTCTGAGAACATTGCGCTCGTAATGCAGAGGATGGAGTCGGATGGGAGCTGGGAGGCGTTCACCACGGCAAGACAATCACCATTAACGCTCCAAACAGCCAGGAGAACACCAGCAGCCGTGATGATCTCCCCCGTCAGATCGTTGACATGGATGGCTGACAGTGGTGCAGGGAACTCGGGCAGCTGCTTCACAAAAGTCAAGCTGCTCAGGTCCCACAGTATTACCGTGCAGTCTTCTGATCCTGAGACGATGAGGGTGTAAGGTTGGCTGATGCAGAGGCAGATGATCTTGGCCATATGGGCACAGAGAGCCCTTTCCAAGTGCAGGCGCTGCTGGCCGCGTGGGCCATCCTTGTTGATCTTCCAAACTGCGATGACCCCGTCGTCGGCGCCTGTGGCCAGAATCTGACCATCATGGCTGACTCCGGCGCACTGGATCTGGTTTCCACTATGAAGGTTCTCATGGGTGGAGAGGAGTCGATCTTGGTCATAGCTGAGGAACCTTAAGCTGCGGTCGGGAAAGCCCCATGCCACATACTTGCTGTAGGTCGCAGGCTTGAGCAAGCTATTTCCTCCTGCGATGAGAATCTTCTCGTGGAAGCTCGTGATCTGAGAAATTGACAATGGAGAGGTGCGGAGCTCGTGGGGTGTGAGCTGCCCACTGTGGCGGAGAGGATGGGGCAGCACTTTCCTGTCAGATCTCCGCTTCACATGGGACTTTTGGAAAAGCTGTTTTGGTGTCTGACCAAAATGATTTATTTGCGCCAAAATGGAAGCCTTCATCGCTGGATCCGAGACAGAGTCTATGTCTACACTGCCTTCATATGTGTAGTGGTAGAAAACATTTACAGCATCTTCCGCCGCCTGTGGAATAAAGAGGAACCGGTGAGAAAAACTGTGGCATGCTAAAGGTGAATCAATGGACTCAGATAACCTCCTGCCTATACTGCTTGAATCTATTTACTAACATGCATATCTGTTTATTGTTCGAGTATGACATTTGTGCACTGTATGAACAATGGCCTTGGTTCGTTCCTCACATAAAGTAGGATAATGGCGACAGAAACAAAACCTTAAACATGTGGATTGGCTCATTGCCAAATGGGACTCAAAGATTCAGTGGGATGTGACAACGAGTCTGTTGGCCACATAAAGGCCCAAAATGGAGGATTTAATCCGCATGGGGTGTTGGGCCAAGGGGCAGGCAAACTCCGAGACTCGTCTCTTGAGAGAGGAGCGTGTGCAAAAAGGCCAAGTGACGCCAGCTGGCTGACAGGAAGGAATAATACCTCTCCCACAGTTCATGATCATAGTTATGGGGAGTAACCCTAAAGAGTGCTTTTGAACAGGTCAAAAGGAGAAACCTCAAGAAAGTGAGAATAACAGCCCGCCATAATGATATGAATAACAATGCACCATGGGATTGTTATAAATCGAAACATGATGGAAAATCAGCAAATGATATCACATAGTGATCTGCAAGTCTGATCACTACAAACTAGACATTGCTAACATCCAATGAAACTTTGCATTTAAAAGGAGATACATCTATGCTGGATCTGATCCAGTTAAAATCCGGGCAGTGCAAAGTATCGATAGATAATCGAAATCAGGGTATACCACATATTTCAGTTAGCATTTCAAAGGGCATCACAAGTTCCTGGCAAGTAAAACCTAGATTTTTCTCCTAGAGAAAATAATCAAATATTCACTGGCAAAATTGAAGTATCCTGATGCCCGTAGAACAAGAGACATGACAAAAGGATTTTCCAGAATTATTTACTCACCTTCCCGCGCTGTTTATAACCAAATATAAGATCAATCCAATGATGGAGATTTTCTGAAACATAATCTGACTCCAGTGCTTCCCGGTGTTTCCTTATGAACTCTCTAGGACTGCCTTTGGCCCATGGAGGCAGGACAACGTCACCAACCTGGAGTAGAAACAATATAATTATTCACATTATACAGCATCATTGTCCTTGGTTGAGAAAATCAAGAATGAAAGAAATATGAAACAAAGAAAATTGAAATGAATGTAAAAAGTAATAGGGCATATTTGATGAGACACCTTTTCCCCAGACTGTTTTTCTCCCAAGTCGAGATTAAAACGGTTCTCTAGAAACTCAGGCATGTAGAAGAACTCTGGAATCAGTTCCTTCACATCAGAGGTGTTACCCTTTCCAGCAGCACTGAGCCATGTGTCCTTTATGCTATTGAATAGACGGTCAGCATGATCAAATTGTCCACCTTGGAGCTTCTGGTTCTCTATGCTAAATGGTGGCAAGCGAAGCAGATAGAAAAGTACGATTCCAGCACTGGAATAATGTGAACCGTAGTGAAATTTTGGAACATCTGGGTCATCCCAACTTTCATATCTGAAAGGGCAAGAAAAAGGGGAATCACTTCAAATAGGGAACGTACCATCTGAATTTACAATGAAATTAGCATCAATTTAGTCCTAAAGCCACACAATAAGAAAGAAAATCTATATTAGCACAGGTATCGACCACAATGTACAAACCAGATCGTAGAAAGCCAAGTCGAGAAATTGTTCTCACCTCTTCTTAAATTCATCTTCTCCTTCAGCTGTTTGGCAGCCCATAGGCTTATTCAGTTTGCGGAACGTTTTAGGGTTTGTTAAATCCAATGTTTCACTCTCATAATCTGCAAGAACCCATGGAAACACTGGATACTGGGTGAGATCACTGTATCCACGACCAGCAAGGGTATTAAGATGCATGAGGTACTGAAAGTTGGTAATTTCTCCATTTTGCCATCTCTTAGAGAATGATTTAGCCATAATCTTAAAAAGGCGGCTTCCCTCATTACTCTCCTGCCTTGATGAGCCTGATATGGTTATGTCCAACCTGTCACACAAAATTCACGTTCATAGTTTGTTAGCAAAAGATAAAATTCAATTTGGCCTATCAACAGTGAGGCAAGTTCATAGGACACTTGCTGTCAAACTCCATGTTAAATGACAACTACAAGCCAACATAGCAAGAAAAAAAAACTTGTAGCCATGGTGCCAACTGAGTTGAGAGAAAAATTACTCCAACAGACAACGGTGATTCTCAATAACACATCATAAGTTTTATCTTTATCACATTTCCATGTCATGAAATTCGTCAACCAAAATACTAGGCAATCAGCAAGAAAAATACCAAAGGAAAGGGCATATCCTGGGAATACATTTGAAGTCGATCAGTGCCACCCTTTTTCAGCACTTATGATGCGTCGATATGAATTTAACATCATTGGAAAGGTCAGCATAATCCACGCCCGTCTTTGCTTATTGTCTCATTAGTCTACAGATTAAGAGTAAAAACTAGTACAATGCCAGGATAAGTCTAACACCTACTTCGCTAAATCTTTAGGAGGAGATAGAAGTACGAGATGAAAAAGTGAAGACACATTAAATTGTAACGAGAGCAAGGTAAAACAATAAAAACAGATTGATCAGACGTGAGTGGCATTTGATGCAGAAATAGATTAGATCATCCTTTGACACCACAGAGAATTTTTCTGCCTTGCCAACAAGACTCCAGAATGGAAGAAGCTTCAAGTATGATTGTTGACCTATAATTTTCCAATAACGAGGCAGGTCAAGTGAGTTACACAGCTCAACATTTTTATTACATAATTAGAGAGGAAGCTTCCACTATTTTATCTTGGACTGCTGCATATGGACGCCGACTTTTGGCAAAGAGTGAAAAAAAAATCAATGGAACTTATTTTACGACATGAAAGGTCATTCCACATCAAGAAATTGATTTGCCATGGTCCTTTCTCTGAAAGTGATCGGCCAGTCATGAACTAATACATGCAAGACAATTTATAGGTCGGTCCTAGATAATATGCAAATTAGGGGACCAATGCTCTCAAAGTTATATAATTTGCGCTGTCAGCACAATACTTCCATAGCTAAATCATGAACATAGTACAAATAGAAACATCACAAATAGAAGGTAGAAGATATATAACCAGATAAAAACATCAACCAATAGAAAAAAGTGTAGACATATACATGCTGTTCCGCGGGAGATTCATAGCCACCAGGTTCTTGAAGACTTCTTCCCTCTCCTTCTTATGAAATACTAGAAGATCATTACAACCATCCATGCTAAATATTTCAATAGCAACAGGTCTAAGCTGATAATCACGCTTCAGGAGTTCATGAACACTATCAAGCTTCCACATATGCCATGGATGAGGCATATTACTACTGTTACAGACCTTCTCTTTTCCCCATGCACCTCCACTGTACGCCCAGGCTCTTCCACCCACCAGTGTCTTAACCGTTGTACCCCACGATGAATGAGACTTCAGTTGGAAGTCGGTACAGGTAACATCTTTCTTGACACCCAAAGCCTGGTCAATTACAGAGAGTCCAGTCTCGCTTTCTTTTTCACATATGCATGCCGAGTCATCAATGTAGAAATTCTCGATAACATAGAGGCATAAATCTCCAATAAGGAATATACCGTCATGTTTATCCAGACCAACAACACGCTCACAGTTGTATTTAAATCTTATTTTCTCCGTAGGTTCCAGAAACGGCCTGATTAGATATTCACCATTATCATGAACTTCTCTATCTGCTTTGTCATCTGTAATTCTCTCTTCGATCTTCATGGAGGATGACTGTCTTGGTGAAACGACATCAGATCTTGAAGCAAAGCTATCAGTTATTTGAACAGAATTGAGGCTAGACTTGGCGCCAAAATCAGTAGCAGAATGAATACTGGCATCATTCAGGCTGCTACCTTGATCATCATTCCAATCTCCATCAGGTGATGAGTCTTTAACTTTGAATTCATTAACTTCTTTGAGCAGAGGTTCATGGTACTCGCTGTGCTCAATGTTATCCTCACTAATACCATCATTGTTAAGATTGAAAAATGGTTCTGAATCAGATTCTGAAGTACCCAAGTCATTCATGTATGTTTCTCTAACACTGTCTTTATAGTCCATCTTAAGACCATTGCTAAGAACGTCTTGGATTGTGCCAATTTTCTGCTTACAGAGCTCAAACTTTTTACGCATTCTGTAAGGTCCCTCAATAGGACAGAGTTGCCATTCGGGTTCTGAGGAGGAGATTCGAACTGGAAATATTCCCCGTTCATGCACTAGTTGTAGGAGATGGGTTTGCCACTCACTCTCTGCATGAAGAACCCATCCATATTTATCCTGCCGAATGACTCTTAGCTCAGTTGACATGGAGTCACGAAGCAGATCCAGTGTACATCTCCGCTCATTAATTTGTTCCCAATGCCTCGAATCTAGCCTGGAAGTATCCCGTAATTTTCTTCCCATTTCCTTCTTTCGTCGGCCTTCCATACCTTTAATTCTTATTCCAGGAAACTTAGAAGCTCCATTGATATACTGCATCCACATAATGGAAGCACATTGTTCCAAAACTTTGCTGACAGTCTGCTCAGAGTCATGAAACCAGTCAAAAAATAAAGATGTGCTTCCTTTTAGTAATTCATCAAAACCACCATGAAAAACATCCAGGTTAAGCCCTTGATTGGCCTTTGAAACCAGCAACTCCATCATTGCTGGTTGGCGATGTAACAACAGATGCTTCAGTATTTCTACAGCAAAACTTTGGACGCTTTGTCGCTGATCTTGGAGAAGATAAATTAAATTTTTACAAAGACAGCACATCAGATCTGGGTCAACATTACTGGGGCAGAAAATCAGGCGCTTGTGAGCAGTCAACAATTTCAAGATGGTACAAATATCAATAGCAGATTCATCATTTGAAACACTCACAACCACACCAACCTTAGATTCTGTTTGGAAACCCAAACGTGATAGAAACTCGTCCTCCTGGATAGTCACTAAAAACGAAGGTAGAAAACAATACATTATCATGCGGTTTGTACTTTTAAGAAGTGCCTGTACGTATGCTTCGAGCTGCCTGGTTCCCCTTGTAATAGACAGAATAACGTTCCCTGATGGCATAGCTTCTTCAATTCGGCCATCCTTGTTCGCAAGTTGCAACATAGATAATAAGAACTCCAATGTTTTTAGTACTCCACATGGCTGGGGAAACGCACCCATGTATACCCGATCCACAATCAATGAACACAGGGAATCCAGGTTCACCGACCAGCGACCCTTATCAAGTCGCTTCTCATCTTCTTCATCATCACGTATCAGGCGCCGCTCTAGGAAGTTTATTAGTCTACTCAGGCACAACCCTTGGAAAACTAATCCAGAATCTGCATCCACATACATGGGGACTGTTTCCAAGATGCCCTCAACATACTGAGAAGCTTTAACCTGTTCTGAAACAATGTCAGCAAGTACTATTGCAATGAAATCAAGAATGGCAGTGGCTCCTGCTGAACATGGTCCCCCCCCGTAGCCTGAGTCATCAATCTCTAGTAAGAGTTTAGGGCTAAGAGGGAATAAAAGATTTGGTGCAGATGATCCATGAGAACTGACTCTTAAATCTGGTGGCATATCGAATTCATTCACTGATACTGAAGAACCCATGGATAGCGTACCACTTAGTTGGACTTTTGATTCATTTTGACTTCCTCTACTGCCAAGCCAAGAAGTCAGTGCCAGCACAGGAGATGAAGTTAAAGCCATCTTGGAGCTCGTCTTTTCAGAAAATACAGGAGAACCAGGCATTGGAACAGATGAAGATGTGAATGAATCTTTCGAAGGAATAGTATCTGTGATCCCACTGGAATCATGAAGACTACCATCATGGGTGCCAGAACTGGCTGAAGAAATCTTTTCAATATTTACAGCGTCAAAAAGAATATCTTGCTCGATTTTATCCACAGATGACTTACCAACCCCAGGATGTGGTGAAACGCTTTCAGTTACATGATCATCTGAATCATATTTTTGCAGCCTGGACGTTTTAGACGATTGTTCCTCCTCATGGGACAAGCTTAGGAAACCATGCCTACAGTAATCAGTTTCGTTGAATGTCCTCTCATCAGATGCTTTGGTTGTGAGATCTTTTGCCATCTTGACAGCATAATCCGCCCTGCAATCACAACATAAAAGTTATTCAAAAGAAACAGAGTGAAACCACAAGTTAGCTGACCTCTGAATCGTGCAATAGAGAGATGATCTACAAACAAAGCAAGATAATTTGTTCAAGATCAAGATCATCATAACCACCAACTGTTGTGCTATCAACCCCACAACTTTTTTCAACCAAAACACACTTAGACATCGAGAGCACTTAAACATTCCAAACCAATCACAAAGAATGGAATGAGAGGAAAAAAAGCTTCAAGACTACCAGCAAGCTTAGTTGGCACCAAGAAGAAAGCTATCTGAATCATAAGTGCTGATTCCCACATTTATTCTATGCAGCCACGTGCGGTAAATATTTTTTAAAAAAGGATGAAAGATATGAAAAAGGAAATAATCAAAAGGACAGACCTCACACAAGAAAAGTAAAGATCCACACAACTTTCAAGAAACTCTGTACGCCTGCATGCAGCAGAGAAAGGGGGGCACATTTTGGCCAAGTCAACCATGAATCGTAGTATAGATGTAGCAGCAGCAGGAGCAGCTGCTTCCCCTCCCATTAAACGTGCAGACGTTTTATGCTTAAGTGCCTCAGCCTGAAGGTCGCCCCCACTATCACTTGCTGCCTCTACAAATTCAGCCATCAAAATTTCAATGTTTGAAATGTTGCCACTTTGTTGGTCAAGCATTGACTGCATGCTTAATCGATCGAATGTCGACTTTGCCATAGAAATCACAGAGTCCAAGAGATCTATGAACTTCAACTCCACATAACTCCCATCACCAGGCATAAGAGAATGAAAGTCTCCCATACGGACTTCTGGCACCCTTGGGTAAACAGTCTTGCCAAATATCAAGCAAAATAAGATATAATATATTTCTGGTGAGTCAAAAAAGCTTGAAAGCACACGAGTCAAACCCTGGTAACCTCCACTGCCGCGAAATTTGAGAGAAAACGTTGGGGAAGAAGCAAGACAGACTCCAAGAAGAGTCATGATCCATCTCATACTTGTAGGATGCACAGCTTCATCTAGAAAGTATGTAATCAACTTGGATGATACAATCTTATGCCATTGTTCAAGCAATTCTTCAGATCTGATAGTTTCCTGTAATTCAATCAACATTTCAAGCAGCATATTTCTGACAATTATGTGCTTTCCCATCGGCTCCCGCAGAATCTGATGGCGTGATGCCAGCTGGGGAGGGTCAAATGTCATAATAACAAACCTAACAACAATTTCCAACTCGGAGGCCAAGAACCCATCCTCTAAAATAACACCAAGCAAAACTACCAATTTCTCAAGAACATTAACATCCACATCACCCCGTTGCAGAGTTACCAATAAATGTTGTACAAGGTTAATACGCCGCAAAATTGTAAGGTTGTGATTTCTGTACCAATGCATGGAAACCATTCGTTCAAGGAACCCAAGCAATGCAAGTTGAATTGACACGGGAGCTGTGACCCATAGAGTCCAGTCCAGTAGAACATGCTCAACCATGTCTGCATTTGACAACACAACACAATTTGAAGATTCAATATGTAAGTCACTGCTTTCAAGCTCAGAAAGACGACCAAACGAGTCTTTTGGCACAGAGAAATCATCCAAATCTTCATGTGATCCAGTAGAAGAAACTTCATCCGAAAATTTATGTGCAGAAAAGTATTCAAAACTCGCATCTGGGCTAACAACGCCTAGTGAAGAAGGGTGCCTATTTGGAGGAAATTTCTGTTGTTCAGGAAAGGAAGCTTCACATGCTGCAATCTTAAAAAATATATCAAGTGATTGCATATCAAACAATGGCATTCTGCGATGCAAGAATATTGCAAGTAAATGGTAGCCTCTATAGGATTGCATGTCATCAACGTTCTGAGGATTCTGATGAAGCGCACAAGCAAGCAGAGATAAAGCCATGTGAAGCATTTCCCGAGATTCAGAAGCTTCAATAAGGGCAAGAATAACAGCTACACCCCCAAGAGTGCGGATGCTATCTCCAATCACACATTGATGGCAAATATAACTATTTCCATGCAAACGTCCAAAACGTGGTATACCTACACGCAAAGAACATCAGTTTTGACACCTTCACGATGAATATATGGTTTATTAAATGAGATACGACACGTTGAATATTCAAAAAGTTCTGTCGAATTGAATGATGGTTTGAATAGCTAACAAAAAAGGCCAGCTGAACATTACATCAAACATTAAATCAACAAGGATATGCATACCTCCAATTGGAGAAGCAGCAGATGACATTGGATCGACTAGATTCAATAGAGACCGTGTTCCAGATGTCCTAGATGCCTCTGAAGATGTTCCGTCAAATGCAAAGATGAGCTTTTTCCCGGACAGTTGTAAAGAAAGATTGCTCAATCTTTCAAAATCCCAAACAACCCCACTTCTATCTACTTTGGTATTTCCCTGCTTACCACTACCATCAACTTTTTGCACATTTGTAGCAACGGCAAGGTCAGAATCAAGGGAATCCAAAATAGACATAGTATCTCCACCGCATGCTTGGTTTGGAACAAACTGCAAGAGATCTGCATCTTGAAATATCCCTCTGTAACCTCTACCGAGAATGTACATGAAACATATGCTACCAGGGGTTAGCACCTCCTCGAACAGATAACAGGACCGAATTCTCCATGATAGGCTGCCAACTTTCGCATGAGAGGCTGGTGTCCCTATAACTACCTGCAACGCCTTTCCAAAGGGAGAGGGTGAATATCCAAGCCTCCCTGTGTGCCTTAATTTTCCATCAACATAAAGATATGCTATACTAGGTTGGAATAGTCCAGCCAAGGAATTAGGTTTACTGTGAACAACTGCAAGATGATGCCATCTGCCTTCCTCTAGCTGAACATTATTAAATGACAACGAGCAAGAGTTACTGGTGGCAAGAGTTAGAGCACCATTTTCTTGGAGAATAAGTTCCGAATAGAATACATTGCTATCATCAATGGCTCCCACAGAAAAAAGACGGAGAATGTATCCTCCAGACTGCTGTCCAGTGGATGTGCTTCTTGTGCCAGACACAGTTATCAGGGAATATTCTTGTTCGTTAGTTGAACTTCTACTCTGGTACTGAAACCAGCACACAAAAGAATACCCAGCAGTAGGAGGCCATGTTCTTTCCCCTAAGGATACTTGGACAGATGCATGGCCCATTCTACTCATATCCATCTCCAAAAAAGATGATAGCGGCACATTGTTTAACCTTGTATCTTCCATTTGCATTAACCGTTCCATCATTTTCACAAGACGATGACCAGAACTAGTTGATTTCGTCTGAAGGACGTATCTTATAAGCTCCCGTAGCTCCAAAGAAGACAGCCTGTCAAAGGTAGAACATATAAAAAATTCGAATAAATGGTATATAAGTTGAAGCTACACAAACGGATATCCTTCCCTTCGAGGAAAATATGTTAGTTACCTGTAAGCTCCAAGCAGCTCAATAATTCGTAATGCATGTGTAAGTAATGGAGAAGGTGTTCCCATAAGAAATGGGTTGATTTTCTCCAGTAGAATTCCCACACAACCTATTTTACAGACAATTCCGAGTGAGACATACATAACATGAATGCATCAACAAGAAATGTTGAAAAGGTACAAGTTAGACGATTCCACACCTATAGATGTTAAGTTCTCCTGATTAAAGGAGCCAGCATTTGCAAGCTTTTCTATAAAGGCAAGCAACTCCAGCTGCACCTTAGGGGTGAAGAGTAACAATGAACGAACTAATACCCCCACAGCATTTGCATTGTAAACCCTTTCTTTGTCAGTGCTATTTGCACTAAGAGATTCAGCTGAGAGAAAATTTATTGACTGAGCTTCATCGGAAGGTGTGGAAAAAACATTATCTACTGCCACACTGCTGGATGGGGGAAGAACAATTTCAAGTGCAAGCTCAAGCAATAACTGAATTACTTGCTTTTCAGAATCCACACATAGCAAACCAGACTCACATAAAAGATCATAAAAAGCATGGGATGATATGATTGTATGCAGCCGTACACGATTAACGGCATTATTGCTAACACCAGCAGTGATAGCACGGAATAAAAAGAAGAAAACTTTCATGTGAGTCTCTACAGATAATCGAAGGCCAGCATGATCATCATTATTCTGAAAGCTATGAAGAGTTGTAAGTAAAAGGGAGAACCCAGTCACTTCTCCAAAAACTCTTTGTGCTGCACTGTTTGCAACGAGTATGCGCCACAACACACCCAAAATGTCACACTTCGCATCATTTTTAAGTTTGTACTGAGTTCCCCAGAAATTTGCCACCATTCCACTTTTTAGAATTTCAATTAATGCTCCCAGTTCCTCAGGATGAACCTGAAAGAAGAAAAACGACCATTACACACAGGTGCCAGCATCCTATTTTATTTGAATAATTTCAAGGCTGGCCTGAATCTTGCACTTCAGATAGTTATATCCTAGAAAGAAACCGGACAATTGGTAGGGTGCTACCTGCGCATAGAGTAAAAAAAAGATGTACCTGCGTGGCATCTTCAATAATCAGACATGATAACAACCGAAGAGCTCCGCTTCGGTGAATATCTGATACCAGAAATGGAAGAACCGTGGTAAATCCATTTGACAATCGAAATGTTGCTTGACTAGCTTCTGCTTTCTTTAGCAAAGATACAAGACAATCCCATGCAACAGTGACTGTGCCCTTATCTTCAAACACATGAAACCGTCCTGAACTTGAACACATTATCTTTGGTGAAGAAAGGATGGCATCTTTGCTATCCAAATGCTTCTTAAAACTGTCAGAACTGGATTTACTCTCCAAACTGCCTGAAAATTTATTTTGCTGCTCCCCTCCTGACACAAACTTGTGTTCCTTTAGATCGTCTATTAGAACCTCCAAAACACCAACTTCTCGTAGTACCTTCTTGTATTGTTCATCAAAGGACATTAACTTGACGAAGAAGGAAAGAATTGTATGCTTTAAACTAGAAGAAATTGGTTGCTGCAGTAAGCAGCAAAGTGAAAGCAACTCCTGTTCAGGGATACAATTTACGACTGTAACAGCATATTCAAGGATTTTTAATATAATTTCCTGCAGTGACATGGGAAACCCTGCCATGTTCAAGATAAAGAGAGGCATTGTCCTAAGCTGCTGGCACAACTTATAATTCTCAAGGTGACTTGAAAATATCTTGAACATTCTATTTAGCACCTCGGCTTGCAGATCTATGTTGTCTGCTTTCAGAAAGATGTCCTGAAGCATTTGAATAGCCTCTAGATCACGAACCTTAGCATTACCCTTTTCCCAAATTTCATCTCCAATTCTATCACTTGATGGTGTACGGCTTCGGTTATGGCCTCCAATCTTGCCAAAAGATGATTTCGAACCTTTTCCACTGCCCAAAACTGCATGCTCCAAGGGACCAGTTTGGGATAAATTTACAAGAACATCCAGCAATCTGGAAAGTGATGGGGAAAGCTGTGGAGGTGAACTGTCCCCTCTGCTCAAGGAATTCTTTTGAACAACAGTTGGAGAAGCATGGGAACTGTCTGTGCTAGAATTTTCTCCCAAGGAAGATTTGGAGCGAAGAGTCTGAGGAACCTGGCTTTTCTGTAAGCCAGAAAGCTTCAGTGCAAACTGAACAAGAAACTGATACCCATGAGCATTGTGAATATCCGCCCTGAGCCTAATGGAACCAGCCTCTGCAAGTTTATAGAAATGAAAAAACATATATATCAACAATGTACCAAACAAAACAGAATTATTAAGTATCAGGAATTTAAAGAGAAAAAAACCCAATAACCTGAACTACAACACCCGGTGAAAAACGGAAATTCATGCCACACCAGAATAAAGATATTTGAAAGGAAGAAAAAAGAAAATGATTGCTGCTTACCTTGTCTACATGATAATTCTACACACTCGAGCAATAAGTCAACGATTCCCATGGTATATGCAGAGTCACCAGTCTCTGGATCAAAGTCCTTGACAGCCATTAGCAGAACTTTAATCTACAAAACAAAAGGGAATCATAAGAAAACTCAATAACTACTAAGGCTTTTGAATCAGAACACAGCCAGATCCAAACAAATGTATTTTTCTTGTAATTTATATTCACATTTTAAATTCTATTTTCGTCAATTGAGTGAAAAACCTTTGTACCATGATATCAATACATAATAGATGGAGGCAAAACATGTGCCAGCCATGACACCATAAATAACTCACAACTGGCTCCCAGGAGTCTTAATGTTTTATTTTTCTGGAAAGTAAAACGATGGTGCACATTTTAACAAATGTGTTAATTTCAGGACAGTGAGAACAGAATAAAGAATATACATTGAAAACGCACTTCGCTGCAACCAACAACTGAAAAGTTTACGTCCAAATTGCACTCATCCACCCAGAGAAGTGACTCGTCCCTCAGGTTTTGGCTGGCATTGTAACTCCTCTCCTGACTGCATCACTAAACCTGGAGCTTGTTCAATATTTGAAAGTTCGATGACTGGGGCCATGCTCTGTTTCTAGTGCCCACACCTTTTTCCCTTGGATCACTCGGACTTCTACATGCCCCAGCTCTTTTTCTCTCTCATTATTGTCATTATTGCCTCTCAGGTAAGAGAGGCAAGAAAACACAATAGAAACGATACAAGCAATTGTCGCTATTGCCATCTATATCTCTCCCCCTCCCCCTCCCTTGTCGTCTGGAGGGATTTAAGTAAATCCCAAAAAGGAACAAAAAAAATATTAGAAATAAGAGAAGTGGAAAAGAAGACGACCAATGTTTAACTAACATCCAAGTTGTTTTGAAAAGTAGTATCGAAAAACAGAACATTAGAACACTGTAAAGTTCATTGAGTCAGATTTAAAATCAGTTTATGACCAATCCAAACTACTGATTTGTCAAGAACAAAGAAAGAGATAACCATTAAAGAAATAACTATTCAAAATATGTAATCAAAACGGCATACCAAGTGATGCTTGTGTATATACTTTGCAGTGCTGCCATTATCATTGACCAGAAGAAGTCCAAGAATCTGTAGCATGGAAGAAACAGTAAGTTTTTTCTACTGTTTCACTATTTTTGATCGAAATTTTCATTCAAATTCATAACTCTACAAGATTTTGCTGAAATACTCATCACAGAAAATGTAAGGATCTGAAACCAAATTAGAACATATGGTCGTCATTCACACTGAAGAACTCGAGAGCATAAAAATCTCTTAATAATCTACCTGCATGGCATGTCGATGAAGTTGAATAGTATGTAAAGGGACAAGTCCCTCCCTAAACCGTGCAAAAACAGTCAGAGAGCCTGTTGCAACCATTTGAAACAGAAGCTGAAGTGAGTCATCCTCTATCAGACTTGCTGCAGCTGAAGGATGGCTGGCTAAAGCCTTCATGATATGCACTACAATTCCCTCTACCTGCGAAATTGCAACATAATCAGAAAAGTCAACCTTTACTAAGCTGTATCTTGCATGGCAAGATTTACTTATCTCCTGTAAGATTTACGTTTAACAAATCCAAATCCTGTTCCAGAAAGGGTAAGAGAATGGAAGTTTGTCTTTGAACTAACTCCCAAAAAGGTCATGGAACAAAAATACTGTAGTAGTCAAAACGTGTTTCTGAGAAGGCTCTCAGTATTCAGGCAATAGAAAAAATGGCTATAAGAGTAGAAACTAATATACAAGAGAAGAAGCAAAGAACAGGCAATTCATTGCAATCATCAACATAAAGAGAGAACATTGTTATGTTGAAACAGCTACATCAATATGAATAAAGCCGTAAAAAGAAAGTATTAAATGTACAAATAAGAAAACACAGATTTAATTAGGTCCATGAATGGGTTTAACATAAATTTTATACACCCGCAAACAATTTGGACATGCAATCGTTAGGAAGAAAACACTAGACTCTGTTCGAGTTCATGTAATGAATCGTTCGATCCTTGTGAAAAAAATAAACAACAAAAGATCAACAATCAGCAGAACTGCATGCCTCAGGTATTCAACTAAAATCTTAAGGAGATGAACTTTTGTAAGCAAATCATACAAAGCAGAAATTAAATTATACATTCCAATAAAGCTAATGGCATTCAAGAAACAAAAGAGATTTTCCGTTATTTAGTGACACTTGGAAGGAATTGGGGTATGAGCAAGTTTTCATTAGGGAAAAAAATTCAAAATTATTTTTCCATTTTTCGAAGTTCCTTGGAGTTTTGGATTCTTATTTTCCTCATTGCGTCTATATTGTCAGGAAAATAGATAATATTAAATGAAATAACAAACCACATCATTCGTTATACATCCAGAAAAGTAAGATGTACACAGCTAGGTAGTGCAAAACCACTTCAAACCCACCACGTCAAACATACACCAAAAAAATATCTTTCTCTCCCTCTCATAAAAATATGGATATGTATATGTATGAATCAGTATGCCGGTATATAAATACAGACATCCTTGTTTTTAATGTTTCTTTTCCAAAAAATATTTATCTAGCTGTCTCACATTGATTTCCCACAACTCCTTTCACCTATGTTGCATGCTATTTATGTTCTAATTGAATGGTATCATGTTTAGATCCAATTTTCCGTAAACTCTTAACAGTCCTACCCGGTCAGTTTAGTTTATTGATAATTTGACGCCTTTTATGATAAAATGTTGCTTTTCCATAGCATGCTTTCAACTGATGCCTAATTTAATGATGTATAATGCCTTGTTTTTTGTTTCCTACTATTATGAGTAACTGTTGATGCCTAATTCGATCTACTTGAATTCAAAAATCCTGAGTTACTAATGATTATTTAAACGATCTTTGATTTCTGGTTTTTCCCAACTCTTCATGAATCTAAGGAACACTGACATATTCCACAGTTACACTACATGAAAGAAGTTTCATGCATCTATGGTGACTCATCATTCTACAGCATCACACATTTTTGCCTTCAATGGCAAATATTTCTTTAACTGTCGATATTTCTTCTCACGATTGCTTGCCTTTAACTGCATAGGTCTCGCCCAGAGGGAACCCCTACATTCTGCAGTGTCAAGTTCTCTCCTATGGACCAAAAAGGAAATGTAGCTCCCCCCCTCCACTAATCAGATTTTACCTGCCTAACTGACGAGTCACTAATAAAGTAATCCCAGAATATCCGTAAGCTATACATTTGAAATTAACTTATTATTGTAGCTGCACTAATTGGCATGATATATCAAAAGGTAGTTCTTGTTTACAAATAAAATGTTGCTCTTGGAAGACTCTTTATTTTGACCTTGAGTGAACTGTTTACGAATATCATTAAATACAGTTATTTTGAGATAGAATTGACATAGAATGTAGATCGTTATAGATCAGAATTTTATGAAAAGTATGAAGCGATAGATAGTAGCCTTCCAAGAGGCTGCCTAGGACGAGCACACTGCAGAAAAATAGTATAGAGGAGAGTGCAATGAATTTATTTCTCTTTTGTTAAATCCATGCTTTGTTTTGTTATTAGGTAACTTTGGTGTGCAAGGCTTCTATGCTAACAAGGTGCATTGATTTACCTGCAGTAGGACCCTTTATCTGTTGATTTCAGAAGTACCAGAAAGCCCTTCAATCAATCATTTGAAAACAACCAAGAGGTAAAGAGTTTGTTCAGCGGAAAAACTGAGATATTCCACTCCTAGTCCTTCAAAGTTACTGTCTACTTCCGATTTTTCAGAAAAGCAATGTACATAGCCAACCTTAGCTTTAAATTCATACTACTTAGAAATGATTAAACACGTAAATTGTTTACCATTTCCTCACATCTATATCCTCTAGCCTTTGTGAATTGATGCAATCTACATTCTTTCACGGAAATCTCTTATGCACCATCTATCTTGCATGCCTGAAGGATAAATTCACTTAGGATTCATATGACTGAAAGTCGGATAGAAAAGCTTTTTTTTCTATCCTTTTCAGACCTCTAGACCGAAACAAGCTACATATTAACCTTGAAATTTTGATTTAATCGTCCCCAATAATTTTGAAAGTAATGACTTACTCAACGCTCAAACACAAGACAGCACTAAGCTTGATTTCAGCACTTTAGTAATCTAAACATATAAAGTTGAGCCCATGCCTACAAACCATTTGAAGTTTTATAGATGATGTATCATAGGATTTAAGAAGTCATCCAGACGTAATGCCTAGACAATAGGACGTCATTAAGGCAGCTTAAAAACCCAAAGAGTGCGCGCAACTTCTGCGAGCACTGTAGAACAAGGCATGTTTGGACCACCAAGGTGTTGGTGTCAGAGGTGATCAGGGGTGTCACACTTACGTGCTCATGACGACTGGCCATGGAGGCTATGTTGAACCCATTGTAAAGGTTTTCTAAGCTTAAATTGGCTTAAAAATCCAAACACGATAGCCTATGTGAATGTGAAAATCATATGTAATTCATAACTTAAAAATCATGACACAAAGGAAAATAAACAGGTCCAAATGTATCTGAGAAACCGCCACAGTTCACTGTCATAAACAAGTCACACGGAAAACAATGTCATCACAATTCTTAAATCCAACCTATTCAGATCAAATGGGATCATATTCTGCAAACAGGATCCAAGAGATTCAGCCAAACATTAAAATAAACCACTGGTCTGCAATGGCGAAGCAGGGTTTGCTTTGGCTGAACTGGAATCTGGCACAATGCAGCTCTCTCTCTCTCTCTCTCCAGCTTTATTTATACATATATCATGTATATTGCACATCAATATATTGAATGTGTTTCATATTATTTATTCAATTTTAAAATATAAAAAAAGTTTGGATTATTTAGTTTAAAATAGTTCAGAAGGAGACAAAACTAAATATCATTTAATTAAAAGGTATTTATAATGAAGTATCTATTTTTTCACCTCATATTCCCGACCTATGTTATGTAAATATTAATAACTATATATTATTTTACATATAAATTAGTAGATATTATTGACTCTCTTTTTTAAATGCCTTTAAATTAAGACAATTTCTAGATATAAGATGGTGAACACCGACCATTGCTTTGGTACACTTAAATATGAAGGCATTCTTACCAAAATTTTCAGATGAACAATTGTTTTGGCACAGAAAACCACAGCAAAAAACAAGGTCAAAAATTAGAAAGAAAGAGTTGTAGGATGATCTACATCCAAAATGAAAATTCTACACTAAATCTCTTCACGATAAAGGCTTGGACAAATCAGAAAAACAAAATTGATGTATCAGATGTCAAACACAATTCACACGTTAGCATAATATAACTGCATGAAATTAGCCAAGGAACCTACCTCAAGTTGATGCATGTATGTACCATTCCTATCATTGTCATTTACATTTGAAGTCGATACTTCTGAATCGGCCATGAGTTGATGGTGATTCGCATCATCAGGGTTTAGAAGGGCATTGAGAATATGAATAAGACAGCACAGAATCCCAGAATCCAACAAAGGCTGTTTATCAATTGGCTGTTAATAAAACAAAGCATTGACATCAAATCACCTTGTGAATATCCAGTCACTAATTCATGAGATAATATTTTTTTTAACTATGAGCGGTTGTGTGCATGTGCACTTGAAGCATCAATGAGTGGCACATATATATGAAATCGAATCAAGTGTTGAAAAAAAATGAAAAATAGCTATAGGAGAAAGAGAAAATGAAACAGTAAGAGAAGGAAAAATAGGTACAGAATAATGCGTCCAAGAATGTCCATTTATCTTATACAATTAAACAGAGTCTTAGTTTGATTCATCTGAAGAAGAAGAAAATGATTCATCAAGCTGTATTTATTAATTGCTGAAAAAATAAAAATTTTAGGAGTTAAACTTTCAAAATTGCCAAAAAAGCTGCATACTGAATCTTGGATTTTCCATGATTTCTTCTTTACAATTAAAGTGCATTAGGACAGTTACTTTTTCAAACAAATATCAAGATTCAGATGCCACCAATTTCTGAACAAGAGTAGAATTCAAAGAGCATTCCAACCAGACAGTAACACATCCAAAATAAATAAGGTATTATTTTCTCTACAGATTTTTGAGATTCAGTGAAATTCACTGAAATTGAAAATTAACACAGTCAGAACACAAGTCAGTATGCTAGATATCAATAAGTGAAACATTTTCTCCTCCTGATTCAAAATGAAAATAAAGCTTGTTCCCATCGAATTTCTACAATTAAGTCTCACTTTTGCTATATTATTGCTGCATTGTGAAGTTTATGCTCGTTGCGAGCATTCTTAAAGCAAAACTAATGCTAATTCAACATTCAATAAGCAGATGAAGAAGACTATGATCATTTATGTCGTGATGGTTCAGAAAAAAAATACAAAATGGGAACAAAAAACTAAACAAAAAGATCATAATACAAAAATTCTGCAAGAAAATAGTCATACCCCTGTAACAAGAATTTCCACAGCAAAAAGCAAATTCGAACCAGGGTTTAGCCCATCCTGCAGGATACTCATAATGTAAGGCAAACACTTTAATACAAAGAGGGATAAAGGATAATTATATAGTCTGACAAAAAACAATTAGAACGAACCTCAGTCAATTCAGAGAAGAAACCCATAACTTTCATAGCGTTAAGAGATTTGCCCTGGCTATGAATTCTCAACTTTTCAATATCTGTAACAAATGCTCTTCCAACTACGAAAGAAAATATGTGTGCTTCCACTAACCTGGGGTAATAAAAACATCAAGTCACAAACTCGGATTATTGCACAAGCCACAAGAGCAGAAAGTTATGTAACCAGAAAAAACAGAACATCTCTACACTTCCCGGCCATTACAGACAGAAAATGTCCAGCTCATGAAATCATTATAACCACTTGTTTTACCGATGATCACCACGAAAAAGACAAAATTTATCTACACGAGTGTAATATAAACAGTGCCTTCCCATCGACTGTTATCAAGCTGCAAAGAAATATAATAAGAAACTGTCATGCCCTACTCTGCAGCTAGTTCTATGACCACTAGGCTCTTTTTCAGATAACACCGAGATTTCTAAGGTGACCAAAGAATTCAAACACCTTGGTGTGCACGCAATAAGGAGGCTTTAAATTTCATTTTCTTAAGAATATAAATTAAAACTTCGCGATGAAAGTGAATTAACTGTGTATAAATAAAATTAAAACATCACAAGCAAATATTCATCTGTGCATAATAGAAAGCCATGGAAAATGTAATACCTTAAGTCATAAATTGACACAGAATATGGAATGTAGGCCATGTATCAGAAATCAGAGGGAGCAGGGAAAATTGAAACGTAACTTCTAACTTGAATTGGAATACACTAGCCAATGGAATTTTACAATCAATAGAACGCTGATAGGATAATACTCTTAAGTACTTTCTTAACCACGGTGATTGAATGCAGAAGTCTAATAGCTAAGCAAAGCCTTTTCAGAAGAAAAGCTGTAAGGCATGACCTGACAACACAGGGATTCAGGATAGTGATGTTATATGAAAATAAAATTTTAATCTATACAATCTTACACTAGTCAATAATCAACCAAAAAAATAGTCAAACAATAAAAAGAATCTGAGGGAAGAAATAAGGACATACGTTGTGACTAACCGAGCAACATTGTTCTGTTGCTTAACTAATCTACAAAATAGATCCACGGCCATGTTTAAGGATTTTTCCTTCTCCTGCAAAAAAAAACAAAAACTACTTTTTCTAGTACAAATTTACAAACGTGTTTCTAAAAAGAAGCCAGTTGCTTAAGTAAAAACAAAGGCCATAAATAAAATCAAGGAATTCAGAAAATTTTAAAAAGACCTTTTCAGAGCTGGATGTGCGGAACTCTTCCCAATATCCCTTAAAGTCCAATTCCAGTTCATGTCCGTCTCTGTATTAATCAAAAATTGAAAAGTCGCCAACAGAATTTGTCACAAGAACAGAGTATTTGAAGATAAAAAATAACTTTTCATAAAGACGGTGTCAGAAAATAGAAAAATTTGAAATTGAAGAGTGGCAAAGATTAGCCACAAGAAAGCTGTAAGAAATGGGAATATATCATCGAAGTATAAACTAATGTAGCTCAAATAAATTTTCATGAAATAAAACTATAAGCACAATGAATTTCTGAATGTTTACACAGTCGAAGAATACATAATGTTACAGACGTTGTCAGATATTTGAACCCAGAGCATCTTGTTTAATGAATATTTTCAACTGCTAATCATAATCCTCTGCCTTGCATTACATAAAGGCTGATACAAGGTCCTTAAAACACATTTCCTGTCATGGATAGCAGTATCAAACAGACATAAAAAAGGCACATAACTTGTGGATTAAAATAAATCGTTCATTGCCTGCTCGAAGAATGTGGCATCATTAACTGCTGAGAAAAACATTCCTGGAACAAAGGAAAAACTTCAGAGAAATCTACAGATACCCATCAGCTACAGAATAAAGAATGACAACTTGCCATAGCTAGCCAGCCTTATGCTACCTGCTGTATGGACCTAAGAGGGAGGAAGAAAAGGCATTGAGTCCAAGTTTATTCATGCCACCAAATGCATAGGTAAGACAGTATGTTACTGGACCCCACAAATGATGCCTCTACTTTGTCTACAGATCATGTCTTTCTCCAGGGAGCCAAGGCCCTAAAAGAATAAACCACCAGATTTTTTCTACCCACATCAAGCATTTTGAGAGACATGTTCTGAGTGTGACACCTCAAAGACCGAAATTATTTGACACTTCTAAGTGCATCAATGCATGTTTCCTTTTTTGAGCGCCAAACCTAGAGAGAAATACTTCTCAATACATCAAGTACGAACTATAGTGAATCAAAAATAATACTGAAAGAATAACACGGAGAATATTGAAGAGAATTCTGGCATGAAGATTTCAAGATATAATAACAGCTCACAGTTATTAAAAAGCCAAAGACACGTTGGCTAGTGGCTGACTTGCCACTAGGATAACATGATGAAGCACCTGGATGATAGTCATCCAGTTTAGCAATAAACGAATTTTATTATGGTTACACTTGGATTAGGAAAAAAAACTTCAGCAAGCATGAAAGATTTGAAAATAGTGCTTGCCTCAATTCTTTTATCACGTTATTTCTTAATTTATTCTTTTATTTTTTGCAGATATGCTACAATCAATCCCTACAGCCATTAACTATGAGAAGACAACTAAACAGACTCACTTGGGGTTCCAAGCGCCAACGTCATGGCTAGAAACCAAAGATATATTAATTGAGAATAATCATGACAAATAAATTACAAAAAAGTTGCCTAATTTTGCCCTCTGGGGAAAAAGGTGTGGCAGAGAAGGCATCATTGAGCAGGGCATCCTAGTCGCTGAGCTGACTCAGAGGATCTTATTACTTAAAACTCTGCCAGAAACAAAGTAGCAAGAACATGTCTGCTGTCCCCTTTCTTACATTGGGCATCATTTTGGCCCAGAAACTATTCCCTACCTTCATCCATATACTACCTTTTCAAGAACAGCGCTGTTTAGATTGAAGGCATATAAAATCACGGTTCCCATCTCATCACTGTCAGGCAAGCTTTCATCTCTCTCATCATTCTTTCATCACAAACCAGCACCATAACAGCATATGGAAACTTAGAGCCGTCTCTCTTCCTAAGACCATACTCGAACAGATCGAAATATACAGACGCCTCAACTGAAATGGTTTATGAAATCTTAAAATCAACCCGAGATATATCCCATAGTAGTAAGCGCCGTCAAAATTAAGTTCTGTTCAATGTTACATGCCCAAGTTTTTGTGTCAACGTGAAATGTTGTCAAGAAATAGACAGGCAAATATTTTTAACCAGTGCCTCACCCTTAAATATTAATTTTTTATGCTTAGTTGATACACACGACAATGTATTCTCGATGTCAACTCAAATTCAGGACATTCAAAAAGAGTAAGACTTTACACCGTTACCTGACAATTCTAAATGGAAACCAAGCACTCGGCTTAACTGATAAAAGATCAAGCGAGGGACTTCCTCCAAACAAATTGAAAATAATGAGAAGATGGAAGTCTTCAAAATGTAAAATGCATCTTGAAATTTACAAGATCACACTAAGGCCGAAGCATCAGAGCACACAAAGGAAACCTTAAAGCGTAAAGACACATGCGATTATACGATTGCGAGAGAGAGAAAGAACCTGGCAGGGGACCGTGTGTCCGCCAAAGAACCATTTCTACCCTGCAAAGCTGAATCCGCTCCTCCTCCAGCATCTGCAGCCGGGACGGCGGAGGAGATGGGGGAGAGAGCCGACGGAGACGGCGACGGGGATAAGCCGACCTTCTCTTTGATGTCCTTAAGCAGAGACGACCATTTCATTGTTTTCCGAGAAGACTGAAACATGTGGCTCGATCTGCGACGGCCGATCTCATCCGACAACCATTCAAATGAACCCTAGATCCGACCGGCCGTGGAGAGATCCCAGCAGCCAACCGTCAACCTTCTAAAGGAGCCCAGGGCACAGGGCAATCGGAGAGGCTTCAGCTGCATTCGATCGGGAGCTGGATCGGCATCTTCCCCCTCTCCCCCGGCACCCGAAGGCTTCAGCCACTGTTCCTTCCTCGGATTTCTTTCCCTCGTCCGCTGGAGTTCGTGTCCGATTTTTCTTGTCTCTCCCTTCCTTCCCTTTGTTTCCTAGCGTCACCGTGAGAGGCGGACGTGTAGAAGAGAGAGAAGAGGAGCTCCCGAGACGGAGCGCTCCGCAAGGAGGAGACGCGATTTCTGGTGAGATACAAAGCGTGGGACGACGGGGTCTGTCCTTTTCTCTCTCTACCCTCTCCCTTTCCCTCTCCTCTCCTCTCCTCTCCTCTTCTCTCTTGTCAAACAGCTTGGCTATTGCCTCCGACCCCTCCTTTCTCGTTCCCCTGTCTCCCTCTTCCCAAGTCTCTCTCTCCCCCCCGTCCTGGCGGCCATGTACGCATTCCCTGTGCCACGTCGGACGGAAGTGGTCATCCCACGTGGAGCGGCGGACGAAAGCGGACTCCGAGCCGCTAACTACCCGGAGTCCCTCTCCCCCCGGATTTACGAAAGCCGTCTTCCGATCGCACCCAATGAAGCTTCCAGCACGTAACCGTCCCCGTCAACTCGAAGGTGCAGCATATTTTGACCCTCTGAGAATGCTAAAAATAAATATCACTCTCTGGTGTCAGAGCTATGGAAGCAAGGAACCCGTCGTAGACGTAAATATGGCGTGACACGGGACCCCGGCACCACAGAGATGACTTACCAAAGCCTATCGCGGATCCCGCCAGCGGTGAGCAAGGCGGTGTTCAGATACCACGATAACGTCCAACAACCTCACCCAGAATTAAAAATAAAAGAGTGGCGGCGAATCGGGTCAAACGCAAGCAAACTTACTGACCCCGAGAATCAATAGAAGAGTCAGACCACGCCGCCACGCCCCACCGATTTCTTTTAAGGATGCCGGCAAGGCCCCCCCGGTCCTCTCATAATCTCGTCACGTCGGGGTTTCGCCGAGGGGTTGTCGGACCTTGTCAACTCTGCACGTTGTCCGGATTTGGACGCTGGACAAAGTTAGCGGCCCCGTGGTTGACTTTCTACACGCGTGTCAAGGTTGCCCTTTTCCTCCTTCGGAGGCTCTGTCGGACCTTCTCCGGTCCGGAAGGATGGACGGTCCCCAACGAAACGTAGCCTCTGGAATAGAGCTTAGGGTGTCCTCCGATGGTAAACGGTCCGCTGTCTCCGGCCTTCGGATTCCCTCCAGCGATAGGCGGCAGACGTAATATCGAACTTAAAGCGTAGACGGGAGTGATGGACCACGCGCCCTCTATCAGTCATGGCTCAGGAAGCACATCACCTCGACTTTAGACAGGGGATCCTAAAAGTATATACGAAGAAGGGAAATGTAGCCCACAGGGCAAAAGAGCTGTAATTGTTGAGCTCACAATGAATCATTGAAACAATCCTGAAACGAACAAGAATTGTTTGAAGATAATAGAATTATTTTCCACCTAATTTCTTTTAATGTTGTGTGATAGCATTAAAATAGGCTAAAATTGGTTATCCACAAAAAAAACTGAATAATTAAAAACTAACATAAAAATAAATTAATTACCAAATATGATCCAACCTATCTACAACCAACCTCAAATGGTTAGAGGCCCATCAAATATGAACACATGAGTTGGCCCAATTTATGAGCTAGAGTTTGCCCAATAACAAATTTAAAAAATAATAAAACATATCTTAGACATGTCCAAATATATTTTTCCTGATTTTATTTTTGTTTCCCACTTCTTATCTTATAAAATTCATTTGGATGGGCCATAATCTAAAATTTAGACATTAAATATCAAAACCTTCATCTTTTAAGGGTGTGCTAACAAATATCCAGCCCAACATTCATTCAATGAATTTTATCAAATTTTCTCTCTTCTAAGGTTATGTCTTTTGTTGTAGATTTTGGTACCTCCTTTGTGGATTCACCTTTTTGATCTTGTAGACTCAAGATCAAACTTTTGTATATTCAAGAGTTGAAGTTTCTTCATTATATGGATTCAAGTTGATTTTTTTTTAGAAAAGTTAATTCCATGTGACTCAAGGTACATCAAATGGCATTCAAGTCAAAATTTGCATCCAAGATTCATCTTTGAAGTATGTTGCAAGACAAAGAGTTGGAAATCAACAAAAATGAAGTTTTTAATGTATGTTCCCTTTCTCAAATGAAATTTCTTGAGTGTCAATAATACATTGATTAGAAAATTGAAGACAAAGTTTTAATGTATGTCCCCTTTCTCATATGTCTACCCTTTGAATTTCACTAACAAGTCCAAAATATTAAAAACGAAAATTATTTTGGGCATCCCTTTCAAAAAAGTTTCAAATGATATAGGTAGTTTGAAAAGTAGATCTAATTATGATAATTATATTTTTTTTCTAATAAAAATATGATTTTCTCAATTTTAATGGGCATTTGGAAATAGAAGAACTTCTAAATTAACTTTCAAAAGTTGTAAGGTTTTTCAAATATATAAAAATTATTCACAAAAAAGAGATGAAATTAGTTGCTTATGAATTAAAGGGTGAGACATTTACCTGATTGGATCAATTGCATTCTACTCATGTATGATCATACAAAGATTTGGTTCCTAGTTAGGATAAAATAAAAAAATCATTAAAATTTAGAAATATATATCACTAATATAAAAATTATAGATTTAAAAATAAATATATTTCATAACATATTTGAGAAGTTTATATCTATCTTTCAAAATTGATATGATTGAATTGGAGTCATTCATTATCTCTAGATTTAAAAGTAGACGTCAATAGGGTATTGAAAAAAATGTAGTTGTACAATCATTTTTTAAAGTTAAATGACACTATATGGCCTCTGAACTTACTAAAGCTTTAATAGAGAAAGGAAAAATAAGATCTCTACATTCTACTTATGTCTCATGTTTTCAACAAGATAAGAACAAGGACCTAATTGTTACGTTCACTCCAACCACTAACTTTAGAATTACAATTGTTGTATTGATATCTAGTAGAGTAACATCATTTATTCAAATTTTATTTATAAAAAGTCATAGCGTGCCTAACTTTACTCTTAAATATTATAGAGGTAGTGAAAAAGTGCACAAATCAAACGCATATAAAACATAGTATAATGAATTTCACATAATCAACTGAAGAAGATGAAGACAATGGAGCAAAAGATGAAGAAGAGTTTCATGGAAACATATTTGAATATGATGATGGAGATGAACTTTTGTTGTTCTTGAATTCGAAAAAAGTTTATATACTCACCAAGGAGAAACTTCTACAACAAAGTAATGTGTTTAGAATGATGTGCATTGTGAAGTAAAGATATGTGATGGTATAATTGATCCTAGTAGTAGTGAAAATATTATTTCATTAATTATGGCATGAAAATTAGGATTAAAAAAAATCATCTATATTCATATAAGATTGATTGGATAAAGAAAGATTCTAACACAAAAGTCACATAGCCTATTTAGTAAATTGTTAATAGAAAAAGTATATTTTAATGAAATTCAACGTGTTGTGGTTGATATTGGATATACCTTAAAATTTTAATTTGAGATATTACCCACCGAGGTAGGCAAAGTAATAGTCTTTTACAAAAATAGTCAAGAAAGTTTGTTTTACCTCAAGCTCATAGGTAGTAAAGTAGGATATATATGTATATAAATCCTTTTGATTCTAATGAAGACTCATTTCATTATTTTATTTCTTTTCTTTTTGTCATTCTTTCATCTACAGCTATCAACCATCAAGTGACCTAGTTTTTTATGCTCAAAATAGGTTAGTTCATTCGTAAATGTATCAATAATAGTAGAAGAAAATTTCAAAGTCTTTTATAGAATTTTTCCATCCCTTAGTTTGGTACAAAATTCATTTAATCTCTTACTCAACATAATCAATTCTTTTGGATCTTCCTCTCTCCTAAAGTCTTGCTATCATCAATAAGTTTGGTGGACTTTAAGGCAACTATTTTCCTAACAAATATTTCTACATTTCTTCATTTATTGAGCCCATTTAATAAGTCAACAAGGATCTTAATAGTTCATGTACTAGTAATTTCATCAAATCATTGGACTCAATAGTCATTGACAACGAAGGAGAAAACCCTATAATCCATAGAGGAGAATAAAGGACTGTATGTGTCTAAAGAAGAAGAGAAAAAGAGATAGAGATAATAAACCCTAATGAGTTAAAAATTTGATGACACTATCAAACACTCTCCTTCAATTTAGAGCATATAAGTCAAATATGCCCAACTTTGTACATATGGCATTATAGGAAATCTCAAATATATTTTTTGTGAAGACGTCTATAAGATAATGAGATGAGATCAGATATAATCTTGTCTTGAATATAGTAACAATCAATCTCAATATATTTCGTATGCTCACGAAAGGTATGATTGTCAACAACGAATATAACACTTTGATTGTCACAATGTATAGATATTAGAGAAGGAGAAGAGATGTCGAGATCTTCAAGAAGTGATTGAAGCCATATCATCTCTCACAGGGTCTTAGTCATGACTCAATACTTGAACTCCGTACTAAAACAAGACACCACCTTCTATTTTTGAGATGTCATGTGATAAGGTTACCTCTAACATCTATGTGATAACTCATAGTAAACTTTCAATCACCCTTGTTACCTATATACCCAACATCAAAACAGAGTTTAACATGGAGATGACCGTGTCACCAATAGTTGTCCTTTTCCTGAGGCTCACTTAATGTATGCTATAACTCATAGAGTTTTCTCCTAGTAAACTTGTCATGACTCTTACGTGAACTGACTCAAAACACTAACTGTAT